CTGTGTACATGTGCACAGTTGTCACACTGTATCTCATATATATAGTGATTTGTGTCAATTAAACTTCAAAAAAAAAAAAAGGCCTGGGTCTTAAGTTTCTCAAAATGGCAACCTTGCAATCCTCCTTCCTCAACCTCCTGAATAGGCATGTGCCACCACACCCAGCTCCCTGTGTTTTGTAAAATTTTATTGGAGCAGAGCCATACTTATTTAAATATTACCTACAGCTGCCCTCAACTCACTACTCTTTTTTTTTTTTTTGGTACCCGAGATCGAACTTGGGTCCTTGTGCTTGCAAGGCAGGCGGCAGAACCACTGAGCTAAATCCCCGGTTCCAGCTGCCCTCAAGTTACAGCAGCATACTTGGGTAATTATTACAGAAAGTATATGACCCTTGAAGCTTCTCATATTTTATTATTTAAGAAAATGTTTGCTGACCCCTTTTTAGTCATTTTGGTTCCTTCCCTCAAAGTGTCCACTGATACTTGTTTCTTGAGAATTTGCAGTTGTACATTTACAGTGGTGTACATTCTGTATTATACCGACCTATCCCTCCTGCCTAAGTACATGTAACTACACATACAATTATATTTTTAACTTAAAATGTCTATTTTATATTAGTATCTATAGAACATTTTTACTACACTTAATCTTAGCCAAAAGGCCGAGAAGCGATATATATAGAACATTTGTATTCTTTTACCTCCATATTTAATAATTTATTATAATTATAAATAGTAGATAACAATAAGTTATTAATTATAATAACTATTATAATTTTACTGTACTGGGGATTGAACGCAGGAACCTTCACACTGATCTGCATCCCAAACTGTTTTTTGAGACAGGATGTTGCTAAATTGCCTAGGTCGGGCTTGAACTTGCAGTCCTGCCCCTCTCCCAGAGGGCTGGATTAAAGGTGTGTGTCATCACGCTGGGATATATTAAGCTTAAAATGGAAACTGCCCTGACTCATTGCCCATAGTATGCATTTACTTTTATTTTAGAAGGGTAGATCACACTAAGGCCTAGAATTACTGGGATAGGCCTTGCTCGAGCTCTCCTTGAGTTAGATCTTGAGGAATCTGGATGAATTAGGGGGATTATGAAAAGGAGAGAAGGGGTAGTCTGGGTGACTGTGGCTTGTGGTTAGCAGAAATAGCCTGTTTTCAGGCAGTACCGCCTAGTATGTATACACGAAACAAGTGTAGGAGTAGATACACAGAATTTGAAAACAGTATGAAAAAAAGAATGTTAAGCTATTTCATTACTGATTTTGATATAATTTGCCTATAATTTAAAAAGTAGTATTTTGAGATGTGTTGGGTTAAAGTATTATTAAAAACACTTATACTGTTTTTCCTTTTTTTTTTTTTTGCAGTACTGGGGATTGTACCCAGGCCTTCAAATGTAGTAGGCAAGTGTCTGAGCTTTTTCCCTAGTCCTGGCTCCCTTCCCCTCTTTAAATTTTGAGACAGGATCTTACATGATCTTTTTGCTTCTCCCTCTCAGTGCTGGAATTGCAGTTGTGTGTCACCACACCTGGGTGTTTTTACTTTCTTAAATGCGCTGTCAGAAAATGTAAAGATACATTATGTGGCTTGTTTTTGTGACTTGCTTTATTTTTCATTAAACAGTGCTACTCCGGCTTATCCGTGAGGATATGAGATTCATTTTGAAAACTTGTGTATAATTAAGTAGGAAGTGTTGCATAGTTAACCAGCAGTTGTAAAAAGATCCTTGCAGTTTCTTAAACAGTGATATGATATTGAATTGGTTTTAGGAAGATTAGTAAGCTGGTCATGTGTAGTGCTATGAAAACTGGGTGCTTACTGTGTACTAGACACCATCCTAAGGCCTTTTACTCAATTTAAGCATCACAACAATCCTAAGAGGTATGGTTATCTCTTGTACATCAACTTGAATCACAGAAGTTGATTCACCTTAGTGGCCCAAGATCACAGTAATTCTTGGATAGGAACCCAGGCAATCTAATTCCAGAGCCTACAAATTTAAACACACTACCTTGTCACTGAGTAAGTGGAGTAGACAGAGGCAATTTTTGCATGTTGTGAGCAGTAAATAAATGGTAATTGATTATTTTCTGACGGGTTAACATGTTAGGACAGAGCCATAATTCATATATCCCTGCTGGGTGGCTTGAGCCACCTGTGGTACTTACATGACTGTCCCATTGGGTGATTTTTAAAATTAATTTTATTAGTATTAATTAGTAAAAACATCAGCAAAAGTGATTAGATCCATTTGTATTACCAGTGATATAGACCACTTGATGGGACAGTCATGCATGTATTATCTGTGGTTCAAGCTTACAGGAATGTGTTAATATTTTAGTTTAAAAACAAAATCTATCTTCACAGTACCCTGATATTTTGTCTTCAGTTCTTATCACCATGGTTGGTTAAGAGTAAGAGTTTTGCTCTCCAGGACTGACTATAAATTGAATTTTCTTGTGCTCTCAATTAAGGAGGGCTTTAAGAATATGTAGCTTTTTTGTTTTATTTTTCATACTCTCCAGGCAAGTTTTATTTTGTCTTATGTGTTTGACAGGGAAACAGAGACTAATGTGGCCAAAGTTTTATGATTGGAAGTTATAAAATCATGAAAATATGTAGTTTTGATCACTACTGTGATTTGATTTAAAAAGTAAACATTTACATTTTGAGCTTGGGGCTGATTGATTATAAATGGTATATATTCAGCCCTAAGATTTTTCTTGGATTTCAGATCCTGAATCTTAACAATGTTTCTTAACAAAGTTCCTTTATGTAAGTTTATCCAGAATGTATTAAAGTAGCCTAGTTGAAAACTTTTGTCTTCAGGATGCTTCGTGCTTGTAGGCTACTGGAAGAGAAAGGAGTTAGGATGTAAAGAACATCAGCACAGCTAGAAACAAAATGGTGATGGTAGCTCTGGGGCCCCTTGACACTGCTGCTAGAGCAGGAGCCAGCTGCCAAGATTGTCTCAGTTACATTTCCTCTGTAGCTCAGAAGTGAGTGATGTGTACATTTTTCTAATCTCTACTCTGTTATTTTGAAGTCAAGGTTGTTTCATTTGTTGAAGAATGACCTACCTGCACCGTACACATTTAGGATTTTACTCTTCTCTCTGACATCTCTGACTGGGCTTTTGTAACACATATTACTTCTTTTTAACTCTGTCCAAAGTAAAATGGCTTGTTTGTAAGCATCTTTTTCTTTATCTCCTAGGCTTCTGGAGATTTGTAGGCCTTAATTAAAGATGAGCTTTTGATGCTTAGAAGTGACTTATCTAGCCAGTGATTTTTCTTGACCTGGGAACTGTTAACATCTCAGCTAGGTAATTCTTCATTGTGGGTGGCATTGTAGATGTTCAGCAATATTTCTACCCACCAAATGCCAGTAGTTTGCCAGGGATTTAGCTCAGTGGTTTCACCGCCTGCTGCGCAAGCGCAAGGACCTGAGTTCGATTCCCCAGTACCAAATGCCAGTAGTTTCCCCTTTAGTTGTAAAAACTAAAAATGTGCCCAAACATCACCACATGCCCCCTGGGGAGACACAGTTGCCATGGTTGAGAGCATTGTATAGCCCATTTCCTGTGAGTGGCGGTTCCTATCTTAAGACATTGAGAAAGGGAGTTTACCTTCTTGTCTTGCAGCCCACTTCAGGGGCTCTCTCTTTATTCTGACCTCTGGAGACCTTACAGAGTGAGTAGACTCACACACAGACTTTTCCAGTTACTGAACAGAGATACCTCGGTCCTAGTCTGTCATGTGATTATTTTAGAGCCTGAACCAGCAATCTTTTTTAGTAATGAGCCAGACATAGTAAACATTTTAGGTTTCGCAGGTCACTTCTGTGCTGGCTACATAAGATTTCTGATGTATACATCTTCTGTTACTCTTTTCCTTCTTTCTCTCTTCTTTCATACTTCTTATCTTCTCACTGACCCTGTCCCCCTGCCCCTTTCTCTTACAGTCTTTTAAAAATGTAAAATACATTAAGTCACACAGGCTGGATTTGGCCTCAGCAGTAGCTTGCCAAGTCCTGGCCATAGAATCTCCTTCCTTGGCAGCTGAGGGTTCAGAACATTGGGGAAGGGCTGAGCAGCACTGAATACCAATGGGCTTGTCGCTTACACCATGAGGCACAGTGCTTACTGCTCACTGGAGCTTTGTTACATTTTCATCTTAATACACCACACATTTGGGTTTGACTTTTTATTAGGACACTTTACCTTCTAGGATATTTTTTAACTTCATTATATTACCTACCACCCATACATCCAGTTATATTAAGTCTTATCTTAGCTAGAGCTAACCCTTGGTAGCCTGTGAGAGCTGGATCCTGTTTTCTCCTTGACAATGTCAATGAGATTTCTCTCAGCTTCATGTCACTCGAGTGTTTGATAAACCCCAAGTCTTCCACCCAAGTTACTAATAAAAATTTCAATGAGATGTAGTGAAAAGCTAACATAACAAATACTTAGCCTAAGGTAAGTTTAATGTATGGCTAGAGCTAGCCTTTACTTTTTTTTGTTTTTTTGTGCTAGGTATTGAATCCAGGGCCTTGGCACTAAGCTACATATTCCTAACCCATTTTATTTTTTGAGACAGTTTCATTCAGTTGCCCAAGCTGGGCTCAAACTCTTGCCTCAACTTCCTAGAGTTCTGGGATTCCATGCCCTGCTTATATTTCTTTTAAATTGTTTTAGAGAATTATACATCTGCATTATAGTAACCACTGTCAAAGATTACTGACCTTACTAATGTCTTTCAAAGTGTTTAGATGGTGAGTATAATGATCATGACAAAATAACTCAATCTTTAAATTTTTTTTTTGGTACTGAGGATCGAACTCGGGTCCTTGCGCTTGCGAGGCAGGCGGCAGAACCACTGAGCTAAATCCCCAGCCCCAACTCAATCTTAATTCACATGCAAAATAAGAGAATTTTGAATGTTTTTTTAAAAGCAGTTAACTGATAATTATTTTTTATTTCAGAAAGGATTTACACCAGCCGTCCCAGTTCATGCCAATAAAGAAGATCCAGCTACTCAGACTAATTTAGGATTTATTCATGCATTTGTTGCTGCCATATCAGTTATCATTGTATCTGAACTGGGTGATAAGACATTTTTCATAGCAGCCATCATGGCAATGCGCTATAACCGTTTGACTGTATTGGCTGGTGCTATGCTTGCCTTGGCCCTCATGACATGCTTATCAGGTGAGTGCAGCCCCCAGGGAGTTTGTTGAATTAAGGGGAACATGGTGTGTAAGTATTGAGCCCTTGAAACATTCAACTAGTTGTATTGGAATTTGGTTTATGTTCTAGAATTTAGTAAACAGCAAATGGCTTCAGTACATAAATTCTTAAAAGCCAGATTGTACTTTTTAGATGAAATCTTTAGCTATTTTCAGCCAAAATCATACTCCATCATTTATTCACTGTATTTTATCCTTTTATTCTTTCTCAGCTGTTTTCCTTTTTAGTTCAGATTTGCATATTCATATTTGATATTTTAGCAATAGGATTTAAGACCACAGAGAATTGCATATTTTCTTGTTAAATGACACTTGGTAGGTAATAACTGAGAAATAACTTTCAGTTTAATATGCTTTATGAAGCTATTCTTACCCATTATGGTAAGAAATAAAATGTTCTTAGAACTCCCTGTATATGTTACTGTTTCATTTATTAATTTAAAGGCTTTGGTTTTTCAAAGCTTTAGATCATAAGGAGTTTAGGTTAACACAGTTTAGTCTCTGGTTCCATAGCTACCTGCAGCCGTATGGTTTGATGAAAATAATTGCTTTCTCTCTTTGAGCTAGACTTGAGTTTGAATGTAACCTGCCCTGTTTTAGGCTAATCATAAGTTATTTAATCTCTTTGAGCTTTAGTATTTCTATCTGTAAAATGGAGATTATCTGCCTACCTCATGGGTTATAGTCTATTAATGCTATTTGGAGTGCTTTGTTATTCACTTCCCTTCAGCTTGCCTTAAATTTTAATAGACTTATTTCTTACAGTGCAGAGCAAGTTTCGTTTCTGGCTACCTGGTGCCTACATCCTTGATAAAAGTTCATGTTGTTAGAAGCATAAAAATGAGTGTTTTAACAATGAAAATAATTTGAATACTTTGCACACTTTGGAAATTAGTATGGGAATTATTAATAAAAACATAATTTTCTCTTTAGAAGCAAGTTAATTGTATTTTAGTATATGTGCTGCCTCAGTGAGCATAGCAAGTTGATTATAGGAGATAGGAAATGAGGAGAGTTGCAAATGGAGACATCACTTATTTGGAATGAGTTTGAACAGAATCAGAGAAATGTATTGCTGAAATTTCCAGCCTCAAGGATGGGTAGAAGGCTGTATTCTCTGTGCCTGGAACCTCTCCGACCACACTCTGTGGTCCTCCCCGCCTCTTTCGTGTTCAGTTCCTTCTCTTCTGCTGCCAGGATCCAGTGTCTCATTTGTCCTCAGCCTTGTGTCTCCCTCTAGCTGCTAGCATTGTCTGACAGCCCTTCCCACCTGTGATCTTGAAATAGTGTGTATCAGGTTCTGCAAACCTTTCCCTGTGCGGTCTTGAAAATCATTTTGAAAAATTATTTACTCACTGTCACACTGAAGTTACCTAAATTTTTTTAATCATAAATTTAAGGAGTTGAAGGGCCGGGGATTTAGCTCAGTGGTTTCACCGCCTGCTGTGCAAGCGCAAGGACCCGAGTTCAATCCCTGGTACCAAAAAAAAAAAAAATTTTAAGGAGTTGCAAAAATGTAATTTCTGGTATATTGTGTAAAATAAGACAGGTACAGTGTTTAAAAATATACCCAGTGGATTCTAAACACTATTACAGCTTGATACCTACCATCACCATCATTCCTTTGAGAAAAACTCATAAACTGTTTTGTGGTACTGAGGGTCAAACCAACAGCCTCTGCACTGCGTTATATCTCCATCCCTTTTTTGTTATGAGATCAGGTCTTGCTAAGTCACTAAGTTGGCTGGCCTTGAATGCAATCCTTCTGCCTTCAGGCTCCCAGAATGCTGGGATTACAGGTATGCACTACCACACCTAGCTAAATAAACAGTTTTTTAAGACTGGAAATGTATGTCTTAATGATATAATGGGATATTATTTTTAAACTATTTTGTGTGTCTGTGAATGAATATCACTTGTTGCTAGAGTGAGATAAAGTTTAGTATCAACACTGATCTTTTCTAAGAGAAAATAGAAGGGCTGAGAAAGTTTTCAGTAAATAAGTTGATGGGAAGACATTTATGATAGCCATGTCACTCAGTTCAAAACTCTTTAAAAACCATACAGTGATCTCTCCTCAAAATGATTTTTTAACAATTTAATCAGCTGACAGCTCAATATGGTCTTCTGTCAGTTTTGCTGAACACAAAGAACTGGAAACCATCAAGATATCTAAAAGGCTTTTCTGAAACTTAACAAATTACTCTCCTTATTCAGATTAATCTTTTACTTACAAGTATCTTGTTTAACTGGATGTATTTAAAAATGGTTGGAAAAATTGAAATTTTTGTTAATTTTAATGTCCTGTTGTCAGTAAAGTATTTGAGTGTCAAGAAAGGTTTCCAAAGAAAGGACAATAGGCACAATAATCAGGAGAAGAAAAAAGTGATAATGTTTCTCCCAGTAGAGATGGCAAGAAGGAAAAATATCCCTAAATAACTTTTCTTTTTAAAGATTATAGTAGTCCTGTCATGTGAGGTTTCACTTTTTGCAGTTTTGGTTATTTGCAGTCAACTGTACTCTGAAAATATTAAATGTAAAAATCCCAGAAAAAAAATTTAAATTGTATGCTGTTCTGAGTAGCATGGTGAAACCTTGCTATTGCACTTCATCCCACCTGGGCCATGAATCATCCCTTTGTCCAGCATCTTCATGCTGTATGCAGCACCCATCATCACCCAGCAGTTGTCTCAGTTTTCAGAATGACTGTTGTGGTATTGCAGTGCTGTGCTTGTGTAACTCTCTTTTTACTTAATGCTCCAAAGTGCCCAAGTGGTGACACCAGTCCATACGACAAGGAAGGAAAGGTTAATTCTGGTATCATGTGGCCGTGCTCCCCAGGCATATTATACAGGAAAAAGCCCAGTGAACATAGGGTTTGGATCTATCCCAGGGTTCAGGCATCCTCTGGGTGTCTTGGAACATACCTTCTGTGGGATAAGGGCAGTTGTTATATCTGAGGATAAAGGGGTAACTAAGCTTAGGAGATTGTAAAGGTTTGCTGCCTTTCATTTTTGAAATTTTAGAACTTCATGGAAATAATTTTAGATTCGTAAAGCTATACAAATTAGATAATGAACACCTATATACCTTTTGTTCAGATTCACGTATTAACTTTTTGCACACTGCTTTAGAATTGTTTGACTTACATAAATAAAATTGCGTTCATTTTGATCTCCCAGTCTAGATCTCTCTTTTATACTGTCTTGCAACTAATATAAAGGCTGTAGTCTTCCTTATCAAAATCTTCTCATAGATTAAGCATGATTCTTATGTAATCTTAATCTCCCTTCAATGTTTGCAAAATGATGACTTCTGCTTCTCAGCTTTACATTTTCCAGTGAGCTCTGTCATTCTGCTATACACAGAACTTTTTCCTCTCCTATTTGTCTTTTACTCTTTAATCCTTTTTTCAGAGGTTTTTAACTAATTATTAGACTGTTTTGTGGACTGCATTGTCTCAGATTTGGTCCATGAGAGCCTCACCAACTGCCTCCTTGTGACGTGCTCTCATTATTTGTGTTTGCTTTTCCTTTCCAGTATAACAACATATTGCAGGTTCATCTTGTATCTCTGCTTAGTCTTAGAATTGGCCATTTCTCCGAGGAGCATTTTCATGGAGAGTGGTATTAGAACCCTAGTTCTGGGTGTAAGGTGGGCTCTTTGTTACTGAGATGTTTTTATTTCTTGGCCTTTTTCAGTGGACAGAGCTAGAAAATATAAGACTATATTGTGTTTGTGTGTATACACACATATGCGTAAGGAATTTTTAGTTTTCTTTCAAAATATGTTTTTAATCAAAAAGGAGAAGTTTGAATCATGCTATATGAAAATATTGTCATGGTTTGTTACTGTAGAGCAGTGATGGCAAGCCTATGGTTATCATTGAAAGCTCTGAAAGGTTTGCCATCACTGCTATAGATATTTATAATTAAAAAGTTTTTGATGAATATGGATTACATATGGATATAATATGCTTTCGAGGTTAAAAATCTTGGAATCCTTACAGGACATCGTTAGGGGCCATCAGAGCTAACCACTTCAAGCACCAGGCCCTCATGACATAAGTGACAAACAGTGGTAAACCATGATTCCTCTAGAAGTTAGCAGCTTCTTCAGTTAGTTGTGATACTCACCAGTTAACCAGATACACTGTTCGTCATATTTTCTTCCAGTTTTGTTTGGCTATGCCACCACAGTCATCCCCAGAGTGTACACATACTATGTTTCAACTGCATTATTTGCCATTTTTGGCATTAGAATGCTTCGGGAAGGCTTAAAGATGAGTCCAGATGAGGGTCAAGAGGAATTGGAAGAAGTTCAAGCAGAATTAAAGAAGAAAGATGAAGAAGTAAGTCATATGGCCCTGTCAAATATGGCCTAGAAGGTACTCACTGAGGAATAAACAATACCCAGAGGTTTTCAGTGGCCACATTTGTATGATACATGTGGGCTTCACAAAAATAGTTTATTTTGTTTGGTTTCCATTCTTATCTTTGTGATATGATTCTGGGGTAGTGTTAATGTGGTAGAGGAAGGAACCAGAGAGTTGAATACTGAACATGGGCAATCAGATTCCTTAATTAGGCTGATTCTGAGCTCCTGAAAAGCAGGGACTGATTTTTCACATGTTTCTTCCATAGCATCTGGGACAGTAAGTGATCAGTAAATACCATTTATTTTGTTGAAGAGGAACAGAAGCATTGAGAATATAGCATTTGTTGCTGCCTGAAACTAGTTGTTCAAAGCGGGTGGGGGAGTTTGGGCTCCCAAAAATTTTGTTTCTTTTGAGTGTGTTCCATAGACTTGATACACTTTTTAAAAGATTCAGTGATTTTTTTGGTGTGCTATTTTTATTTGCTTCCTAGAATTAATGTCATTTTTTGTTTTAGTTTCAACGAACCAAACTCCTAAATGGTCCCGGAGATGTTGAAGCGGGTACAAGCACAACAATACCTCAGAAAAAGTGGTTGCATTTTATTTCACCCATTTTTGTTCAAGCTCTTACATTAACATTCTTAGCAGAATGGGGAGATCGCTCTCAACTCACAACAATTGTTTTGGCAGCTAGAGAGGTGAGTGACATTTGGGAGACTTCTTTTATATTAAAACTAAAACATAATTAATGTTACTTTGCTAACATTGTACAGTTGTTGGGCAAGGGATTGTTTCCTGTCTAGACTGGTTTTACATCTATCCACCTTGCCCCTTGCTCAAGTTAGCCTTCAGTTTCTGCTGGCAGTCTGATAGAATTCTTATAAGTAGAAATTACACTTTTTCTCATGTTAATGAAGCTGGAGGGGCATGCTGTTTTCTTGGCTTGGCTTTTCTCAGAACTTTTGTTGGTATTCTTGTTGAATATAAGTTAGTATAATATTAAACTGATAAGAACAGATACTACACTTGATTTTAGCCAAAAGACTGAGAAGAAGTGGTATAATATTATTAAAGGCCAGTTTGGCAGTAAGTATCCAAGGCCTTTTAAAATGCATAACTTTTGGTTCTTCTGTTCCTTATAGCTAAAGAAATAACTGAATGTTGCACAGGTTGCTTATAAAAATGTTTAATGCAATCAAGTGGAAATTTAGAAACAAACTGACCTGTCCAGTAGAGGAGAACCAGTTCAATTATTTACACATTTCTGGGTTGCTTTTCATGTATTCACTCTTCAGCATCATTTTTTGATAAGTCTTAACTCTAGAATACTGATACCAAATAAATAGTAAGCCAGAAGAGACCTCAGATCCTCTACATCTAGGCTTTACTCGATAGATAAAGAACCAGAGACTCAGAGAGATTGGGTGGCTAGAGGACCAAAGTTGACTGGGAGTGGGACCAGGACTAGAACTACAGCTGTCAGCTCTGTAGCCCTTTATTTTTTACATAGCTGTTTAATGTCACTTAATTTAAAAGACACCTATTTTGTTTTTTTTTTTAACCTTTCTATTGAGGGGAATATTATTTTATCTGAGGTACTGTATCTGTCAAGGTGCACCGATTTACAAAGATTTACTGAGGAGAGGGTTATGGAATGGAAGCTGTATCTACTATTTAGGCTCTTCCTGATCTTAACTAATATTGCTGTTTCACATCAACTATATCAGATTAAAATTGTTTTTAAATCTTTGGAAATGGCTACCATAACAGAATAAATTCCTTAACATAGGTAGTAGTCAAAAATACAGTCTTTGAGGGCCAGGACTAAGATAGTTGGGAAAGGCTGTTTTGTCAGAGAAGCCTAAAAAATGCTGTTTTGGGAAGAAAAAAAATAAAGGAGCTACTTTTCATTTGAGTACTGTAGAACAAACTTTCTTTTAAAATGTTACTTTAATGGTTGTGCCCTATATTCTTGATTTCTAGCCGTTTATTGGCTTTCAGATACCAGAGCTGGGACTTAAAACAAAGTAAGTGACCTGATGGTGTGGTTCTGCCAGGTGTGTGGTGCTGGCAGAACCACTGCGTTTTCCCCGTACCCTCTCCTATAGGGCAGGGGCCTGGGAAGGCTCCTGGCTCTCTGGTGGGACACTTGGTCTAGTAGCACAGCACATGCAGCCTGGGTTTAATTCTCTTGCTGTGACCACTTCACTCCACCTCCCCGTGTCTCTTCATCTGCAGGTGGGGTTTACCTGTCTTGCAGATGGTAACACATGTAGGGTGTCCAGCACAGCTCTTAGCTACCCATCCACCCTACCAGCACCACAGCATTAGTGAGCTCTTGAAGAGCTGAGTTAGTCTGGTTTCACTCCTTTAAGATTCTTTATGAACCATGTAGTACCCTTGTACAATCCATTTCAGCCTGCAACTGTACCTCTGCTTTCCAGTACAACTTAATGTTCCAAAATCGGATTTCACAGACTCCTAGGTCTTCTGAGATGTTAGTAGGTAATAGGTGAGAAGTGGAGAAGTTTCAGTCAAATAAATTTGCCTGATTATAAATTCTTGTTTTAGGATACAGTGTGTAAAATAAGACTCTGACTCCTGTATTAAAAGAACTATTTTCTTTAATCAGTGATATTTCAAGTATCATTTTCAAATAGAGTAGCAATTTTAGAGGTCCTAATATATAGATAGAACTTGGGAAATGCGCTGTGTGTGTATGTGTTACTGGGGATTGAACCCAGGGCCTTCACACTGAACTACATCCCCAGCTTCCCTTTTTATTTTGTGAGACAGGGTTTTACCAAGTCACTTAATTGCCCAGGCTTGGGTTGGCTTTGCTGTCCTCCTGCCTCAGCCTCCCAGAGTGCTGGGATTATAGTGCTGTGCCACTGCACCCAGCTAGACTTACCTTCCTTTCCTTTAGATGCTTCAAAGCATTTCCATTTCCTCCCTGTGCGTATACACTGCCCACACCACAGCAGCTGGCCTGGCCTGCACTGGCAGACAGAAGTCCTCTATTTTAGCCCCACCCATCATAGTGCCAAGTCCCTCTGCCCAGCTCCCCCCTCACCTCACATAACTTAAACCTTTGTCTTACAGCCCAGTTTTGTGAACATTTTAATTTTTATTTATTTTTTTGTGATACAGTGCTTTATTTAGAAAAAGATAAACACCACTGATTCTAAGATATTTTTTTCTTTCAAATGGCACAGAAATTAGACAAAGTAGTCCAGGATAATAGATGTATTTACACACTGAATGCAAAATAAATATACAGTATTTGGAAAACTTAGTTATCCATTGATTCATTTTGCATTTCCACTGTTCATCTTGTGTTTCAATTTTCTTTGCCTTTTGTAAATCCTTTTTTTTCTTGCTTTCAAATCGACTTTTGGCTCTGGTTTTACCCACTGTATTTCTATTGGTTTTTCCTCAGCTGGTGTAACAAAAACATCATCAGTAGGATCGTGTGGAAGAACAGTCTTTGGCTCTTTCTCTGGTTCTGCACATCTTTTACTTGCTGTTTCTCTTGGTATTTCGCAGCTGTGATGGATCTTATGATACGCCGATGCATGTTTGGTGACTGGTAGTGAGGATTTTCATATAAAGTTGGTCCTCCAAAACTTCCCTGAAAAATATCAGATTTAAGACAAAACAAGGTCCTATTTCTACAAGTTGAGCATCTTCATCTATGACCTGAACGTTCCGAAACCATATCCTATTATCCAAAATGGTGGAAGTAAACACATGGTCCACAAATGGCTGGCTTTTGGGATGATATCATGGCATACTAAAAATCTGAATTAAGAGTTCTTTTAACAAAGCATAATGTGGCAATTCATCAAAAGCAGGGTCAAAAGACAAAATCAGACGAGAACCTTTCAAACAGTTTCCAGTCATCTTCAGTTCTGCTAGGGTATGAATATTTTGAACAAGGAATTTGGCAGAGGGCCCATGAGGTGAATTCGAAAGCCACATATAAAGATCTTGTTTTTTCTTAGCTTCAAAATAGATGCATTTATTGCAGCTTTTCATTTCACAGACCTCATTAATCACAAATAATTTATCTTTACAATCCATTTTAGTATCTGCTTTAGAATAAGGCATCAACGTTCTCAAGTCTTGCATTAAATGTCTTGTTCTGAAATTTATTCCTCTGGAAGAAAAGATGAGAATCCGTTCCTTATTTTTCCACTTGCCCTTGCAAACAGGACCTGGGATATGGTCCTTCTCTGCTTCTTCCATCTCCTCTGGCACAGCAGATGACTTAGCTGGAGCCTCGCCATCTTGTTTCTTTTTGGCTTCTTTGCCGAAACTGCCAAGTCCCCCCGTCCTTCCTCTTGTTTGCCACCATCTTGCCTCACCACCTTCCCTCTTGACCGTACTTCCGGTTCTGCCTTGTGAACATTTTTAGCATGCACAATTTTTTCTCATGGTCAGCTCCTTTCTGCTTACTTAACCCACAGGACTCATCTCTGACCCTGTGGGCGAAGTGTTGGTTTTGTTGTTTTACTTGAGCTCACTGCAGCCCTTGCTAACTTGCTGTAGTTCTCTTGGGGCTGCCTTTCCATCACCAACATCCTTCTGCATTCTTTCCCAGGGTTATTACAGTCAGGCCCTGAGTTTATTTACACCAAATTTGACTAACTTGAATTTCTCTAATTTTAATTTCTGTTGATAGCCATGAAACCTGTTATGATCAAAAGGCTTTATGCCTCCCATTTTCTCTCAAATTCATCCAGTTTTTCTCTGCATGTTGTTCCCCCCCGCCAATCCAGGCCAGCACTGTCATGTTGCCTTCCAGTCTTGTTCTCTTCCAGTTCATTCTCTCCACTAGACTTTTAAAGCATAAATCTGTCCTGGTACTCCCCTTGTAAAAACCTGCCAGTGTCTCAGACAAAGGCTGAACTCCAAGCTCCTAGGTTCCTTCATGACCCAGCTCCTGTCTGATGGACTCTTCTTACTCCTCATTGGTTTTCTGTAAGAATCCCGACGTACTCTGCAGTTGGTTGTGTCTTCCTGTTGGCCTTTTTTTCCCTTGAGCATGTTCCTTCCTCCCCAAACAAAATTAGATCATTTGCTAACACCTGCTCATTCTTTAGGGCTATCTTTTTCTCCACTGACTGCCTCCAGATGAAAATCTTGTTCCTGGCACTGGGGAGGGGGTGGGGCACGCAGTAGACGGAGCCAGGGTTTCTGTTTTCTCAAAACATGGCCAAGTTTTCCTGTTTTTTTTTTCTACTTTATTGTTATAGGTCTAGTTATAGATATAACTGGTACATACTGCTTTAAGTATGAAGGGTTACCACCCCTCATAAAATTACAACACTTTAATTTTTAGAACTGTATCTTTGTGGTGGATCTCCATTTTTTTGGTGCTTAGGGGTTACTTTTCTCAAGGAGCAAGTTCAACCCTAATTTCAAACTACCAAACTAATAATGCTTCCTGTCTTTGCTTCCAGGATCCCTATGGTGTAGCCGTGGGTGGAACAGTGGGGCACTGCTTATGCACTGGACTGGCAGTAATTGGAGGAAGAATGATAGCACAGAAAATCTCTGTCAGAACTGGTAAGGTCTTCTGATTTTTTAAAACATTTGTTCTTTTTAAACTAAAAAGCAAGTCATTTGTTCTTTGTAGTCACTGAGAGATTAAAAATAGGGTATTAACTTTTAAGTTTTTACTTCTGAAGTATACTGGGTCTAGTTATTACCTTTTTGAGGTTCTAAATATTATCTATTATCGGAAACACAGACTGCTTTTCCCATGTGTACAAGCTACTAAAATACAAATTCATAAAAAAGCATTATCGAATTCCATAGTAGCTTTTTGTTAACATAATTTTTTTTAAGCTAGTAAACCAGTTACCATGCGGAAGTATGAGAAGTTTTCAGACTGGCAAGCATAGATAGAGACCATGTATATTCATTCGGCTGAGAATGTCCTATGCAGCTGCAAGTAACTATAAGGTGTACAGTTGAAACTCTGTTAGTTTGGTGAACGTTCTCTTTTGTAATTACGTTTTAAGATGGGTTATAATTCTGTTGCTTGACAGCACCAAGTTTAATATAATCTTGTCATTTCCCAAAACAGTACTAGAGGAGAAACTGATTTTTCCTGCTCAGTCAGGAGTGTTGTGTTCTTTGCTGTGTGAATGTGCTAGTTTTCAAGGATAGTTTACTAGATTAGAAGAATAACAGGCATCTTCACTGACTTCCTTAGAATTTTGTTAGTATAGAATCAGTATAGAACTTTGCCTTATTTAACTTTTTTTCTCTTCTCTTCTAGTGACAATCATAGGAGGCATCGTTTTTTTGGCGTTTGCATTTTCTGCACTATTTATAAGTCCTGATTCTGGTTTTTAACAAACTATTTGTTCATCGGTATTTAGTACAAGGTAGTGACTTTTGTCTTGCTATATATAATGTACACTATAACTAAAAGTAATGGAAAATACTATATTTTGTAGCATTGATTTGTGAGTTTGACCCACTTAATGAAATTACTACATCCAAAAAAGTCATGGATTTTATACGTAAAATGGATTTTTAAAAGAAACCTTTTAAGTATGGATTTTCCCCCAACATAATGATGCTCATTATGGCTATGGAACCATGGTACATTGGGGTCACTTAATTTTCTTCTAGCATGACCCCTTTATAAGGAGTGTATGTTTTCTCTTTGGTCACTGAAGTGTTTTAAGATGCTGACCTCAAAGTTTTCCTTGGGGAATAGATTAATCTGTTTTTTAAAACATTTCCCTAGGTCAGAAAACAGTAGTTTAATCTTGAGTCTTTTCACAATTAGGTTGTTTAAAAAATTAAAAGTCAAATAAATGGTATTACTATTATACCAGTAACACAATACAAGAACTGTTTGTGAGATCTGTTCTTCATTTTTTTATTGGGTAGGACACCCAATATAAAAGCAGTCAATATTTGACAACATGGAATTACCAAATTAAAAGAGAATACTATGAATGTATTCATATTTTTTCTATACTGAATAAACTGTAACAGATAAAATGTAAATAAAAGTGATATGACCAGTGCTTGTTTTTCTTTGTTATATAGCTTACTTTCCATAAACTTATATAGGCAACATGAGTATTTATAAGCCAATTTCTAAAGTAGATGTAAAAACACTGATAATGTTGCTAAACAGGAGCCTCTCATTCTAAAACACTCTTACTTAACCTTCACATTTCTGTGACATATAGTAGGTACTAATACAAGTTTAAAAATAACAGAAAACCCTAAAACTTACTCAACGGTGACAGAAGGTCAAACCAGGTAGTTTTAAGTTCCAGGGCCTGCAATTGTGCTAAATGCCAGAGCAGCGTTGTGCTAAAGCTGCCTCATTTTGTCATGGCAACTTGAATGGTAATCATTGTTACTTCAAGTATATTTGAACTTCACCACTCCACCCAGGTTATGTAACAGTTGGTTTCTCCCAGCTTATGTTGTAGTATCTTACGTGGAAACACTAAACCTGAAGGACAATTTTTCTGTAGAAACGTCCACATGTTCTTTGTGTGGAGGATAACAGACCCAGAGCAATTCAGGTTTACTGAGCTACAGTAAAGGTCTATTCTACAATGTAATTTGAAGAGACTGAAAAAGCCCAGTTAATCAACCAGCACTGCACAGCAACTCTGAGGAGAGCTGACCACTAAAAACCCAAAAGTGGCCTCAACTAGAAAGTAGCTTGCAAATGTCCAGTATAGAGTGGCACCTATCATGAAGAAAAAGGTCATTTTAAGGATTTCTTTACCATAAAAAGTGTGTTACAGGGTAGAAAAACACAATGTTCATGACTTATGACAAAGCACTTCAAGAGAAATTTCAAGTTAGGTCCCTATAGTACAACGTTTATTCTCTGTGGTTAGATGTTATTACTACTATTTCTTTTCTAACAGGATAATTCCTTGCAGAAAGTAGTGGATACCAGAGTCTGATGAACTTGACAGTTCAGGAAGCCGGATCCCAATAGTAAGTAGCTTAATACATGAAAAACAAGCACAGCTTTCTGAGACACCACAATCTTATAACAGGATGAAACTTTAGAGATTTTGGAATTTATCAGACCTAGGCCACACAGTAAAAATTGCTAATGTAGTTAGGCTTCACTACTGAATAAAAGGAAAATGTCATTGATAGTGATTTTAAAATATTTAATAGTCTTTCTTTAAAATCCAAAATGTGATTCTTACAAGTTATGTGCCACATAAAGCAGGTGTTACTTTTGGAGAAATGCAGGTGATACTGAAAAACATAGCACTGAGGTATTTTTTATTTTTAAAATTGAAGGAAACAAAGTCTGGATCTAAGTATTTTTACATTTACAAAAAACCCCACAATGCTACTGCTTGGCTCTTTTTGCTATAATTTTAGGTTTTGAATACATTACAAGAGTCTATGGGGAAAGAGCATTATAATAGTACATAGATATTTTAAAAGCTATGCACATCAAAACCTGGAAAGGTGATCATACAGCAAGAGGCCCAAGTGGAGGTAGGCTAATAACACATTTTGACTTTCTTCTCAAAGGATAGCTTGAAAAACAAGATTAACCAATGGTAACTAAATTTAAATGACAATATTAAATTGGTAACAAAATGAGCCACATATTTTATACACTATTATATTTCCAAACAGCTCATAAAAATCAGAGAACCTAATATAGCACCGTTAAAACCATTCATTATCCTTCATGTTTAAATGCAATTTAGGATTTTGGCAGAATACTTGAAAAATGCCAGTGCTTATTTCTGTAAATTAGATTTCAATTGTTTGCTTTAGGAAGAAAAAAGCCTTATCTCAGGGTCAGTAGCCATTTACAGCTCCACACTTTGGAAAGAATGACGGGCTACACCTACTTTTTAATTTAAAATCAAGAACCAAGCAGTAAGGACAGCAGCGTCAAGAATAGCACACTTAAGAACCACGCAGAACATTAGAAAGAATTTGGTGTATATTTTTACAACTACCAATTGCTGTTAACAATTAAAAATTTACAAAGATAAAACTTTCTTTTTTTGCACTAACTTCAATACAGCACTGATTTAACTTGTCTTTGGGCTTCAATTTTTACATAGAGTGAATATGAAAGTATCATACTGAGACCTTTCCCCAACTTAAACCATAGTACAGTAGATTTCAACATAGTCCTAGAATGGTTTAAATTATAGCTGTTCAGGCTGACATTTTAAAAAAGGACATTTTCTGGATGATGTATCTTTTTTTGCTTGAAGATGATTGTCAAGTTATGACACATCAATTTGAAGGTAACAGCTTTTCCTACATTTTAACTTCATAGTACTCATACAGCCACTGCCAGCAGTGACCTAGTACCAGTACAGACCAACTCAAAATAAACATTACTTAAAGCAATGTCACAGTTTGTTTCTTCAGAGATTTAAATGCATATATTTGAAAACAGCATTTCTTCCAGTAAAACCTTCAGAGTTAGACATTTTTTACATCCTTAAATCTAACCTGTGGTTGTTGTGTTTTAGTTACCATTCTCTGAGGGATCCTTCTGTGTGTTTTACCTCGCCTGTGGGACTCCAGAGCTACTCTGGGAGCTCTGAAATAGAGGATTAGGTTCCAATGTGTGTGAGCAGAAAGATCTTCAAATGTCTAGGCTTCAAATGCTCAATCACTGCTTTATTGGACAGTGCTATGTATGGAGGTTTTGTTTTGTTTTAAAAGAATACCACTACAACTGTATAAAGACAGCAAACTTTCTGTAAGTTTCCAGTGTGTATGTATCCCATCTATAAGGACTTTAATATGGATATGATAATGACAACCATTATTTTACTAACATTTCCCCAAATGGGCAAAACTGAGGCGACATGTGCCACACTGGTTCTGCCATACTGGCCTTCGGCTGTGTTGGAGAAGTACTGATATAAAAACTGATATAACTCATTCAGTTACATTAAAAGTGCCCATAAAATAGAGAAGGCAGCAAGTGAAAACAGAACAAAGGTTGGAGCTGTGTGAAGCAGAGTTTAAAGAAGTTACCTTTTAAAATTCTTTTCTCAAATGAATTGAGAATGGGAGGAAGGTGCAGGGACATCTGGATTTGGGCCCTCCATTGCCATCCTGACATGAAACAGATTTGGATTGTTCTTGGAGTCAGCAAAAGGGCGGGTCCACCCCAAGTAAGAATCAGTTCTCCAAATATAAGATGATGCAAAACAAAACCACAAATTAAATACACAACGCTGAAATCACCGAGAAAAATGCAAAGATATTTAAAAATATAAATAAATATATTTAGCCATTTTATTAAACCCAGAGAACTGCTTTCAACCACTTTCTATATTCTGTCATAAATACTATTTTGATTGTCACTTAATGCAGCACCTCAGTGTTTGCTGGTGGTGGTGATAGAATTTCACTTAATAGTCTCAGAAACTATGTAACGATTCCTATTTCACTAAAGAACATTTCCCTGGGAAAACCCAGGCAGCTTACAAAACATTGTTAAATACTCAAAACCTGCAAAGTATTATTTAAGAAAAACAAGGAATGTAGTGTTATGACAATGGGGAAAAAATGCAAAACAGTCACATGGAAAAAAAAAGTATTTTAATTTTTAAATATCCAAGTTTGCTTAATTCTTGTAATCTGTTCAAACACTTTTAAATATCCTGAATTAATAACTATACCAACAAAATTCATCCCTAGTGTTTCCACAGGAGACATTAAAATAAGACCAAATTATGTATTTTTTCTTCAACCAAAGTAGAAATCTCAGTCCTTTTTGTGCAAAAATATTATAAGAGCAGTCAAATGGAAATGCTGAAATGACATGCCAACATTTCAGGGCACATTTAAAACACTCAATAATTCTTGAAATTATTCTAAATATTACTACCAATCACTTTTAGATTAATTCTGTACATCTACTCACATGGATGCAATTTTCCTAGACCTCTGAAAATAAACAGGCTCATTGGTTTCTTTTGGTGTCCACACAATAGGCAAGATAGGTTTACAATAGTGTTTAAATGGAACTAGGCATCTACAGTCTCGACTCCACCACATTCAAAACAAGAGTTCATTTGGCTACCATGAAATCACTCCCATAAACCTACTATGGTTCACTGGATCTAAACATTTCTCAGAAATGTGTCAGTTTATAATTTCACCTAAGTGATGATTTGGGGATCCTTTAGAAATGGTTAATGCCTAAGATAATAAACTTTATCAAAATGAATAATTGCAATAAAGTGCATGTTACCTTTCAAAATGATGCTTTTAGACTGTGGTATGTTGTTTTAAGTGTGTGCTATACCTCCCATAAAGGATCCCCAGGCATGAGATTCTGGTCTTCTCACCTGTCTCAAAAAGCAGCAGCACTATCTTTTGGTAGGCTGACGATAGGCACATTACCCATGCGGATGAGGCTATACTAGGGCTATGGCAAAAGGAGGAGGATATTAGAAAAGAGGGAGGTATGTGGAGGGGTCCTACTATACTCATGGTTATATACAAATATATTAAATATGCTATAAAAATAGTCAACTCTTTTCCTTTGCAATTACTTCAGAGGCTCCTTTTAGAAGAATGCTCACCCAATCCAAACTTAAAAGGTCTCCTTTCTCTAATTATTGTACTATTAAAATGGCAAGTGCCTTTGTGCTGTTTCTTCACCACTGAAAAGTTCCAATCAGCTTACACCTGGCTAGATGCACTCAGCAATATTAATATCCAGTGTTTATACCGTCTGTGGATTCCTGCGGGACTAACAACAGGGCCACAGATGTCAGAAAGGTTATAGATTTGAATGAGTTTTACACAAATGTTCAACAAACCTTCAATCACCAAATTGAAAAGAGAGACATACAAAAGTAAAAACGCCATCTGCATTCCACTTAAAAGTTTGCCTCAACATAGTGGAAACATTTTCAGACACATGGAGTAATATCCAGTTGAAAAGAATTCCCACCTGTGTAGACTATTTTAAGGGTTCCTTTCTAAGGCTTCTTGAACCAAGGGTTCATCTCCCGTCAACACAATGCCCTTTATAGAGCTGAACTGCTTCAGTGCTCCTAACTGACTTTAAGAGACTGCTTTAAGGCAATGACCACTACATAGCACATCTAAAGAATTCAAATAAACTTTCAGTATTCTGCACTGTAATAAGCAATTCAAATTCACTGGCATCCTTTTATGACTAGTATAGTCCTCAGCCACATCTAACTGACAAAGCAGAGTACAGCACTCTAAAATTACCCCCTGAATTGAGGATGAAGTTTGAAATGGTAGTACTTAACATGCTACCCTCATCCACCACATCTGGTTTTCCTCCCATATTTTCGACTAAGGAAAAAAAAATACTCAAGTGTCTTAAGTTCTGGTTTGACACTGCTCTCAGCAGCAACATTATTAATCCTTGCAGGTCTCATATTTGTCAAGTAATGCTGACTGATCCAGGGCCTTAGCAGTCCAAAGCAAGGTAACTAACTGTATCACAGCTAGCATTTTTCCTTTAAAGTGTCACCCAGAATAAAATGTTTCTAAGAACAACTGAATCCTTTGAGAGTAAAGCAGAGAGAAAAGCTGAAAAGTTCCTATTTGGTATCTTTTTATGCTTTAGATTTGGGATTTTAATTAACTTTGGCTACAGAAATGAATGAAGAACAAACAACTGCTGAATCTTCATCTAAATGCTCACTTCATGGGAGGGAGGGCAGGGACAACTTTGCAACTCAAATTTACCGGAAGCAAGAGGAAACCAAAGGTAAAGAAGAGGCAGTTGATGACTGGCTTTTCAACACAATTCTCCACAGACAGCGAAGAAAAAGGAGCTAGTTTTTTAAAAATTTAGCAACATTAATATAAAATGGGGAAAAATGAGCTGTGAAGAACAAAAATTATAAAGAAAAATTTTGTTTAAATTTCCCAATTTTGTTTAAATTCCGAATTTCAAAATACCTGTGAAGATGGAAATTATTTGAAGGGGGTAGGGGTAGTAGAATGTGAGTGTATAGTAATTTACCTTTTGGCTTGGGTTGGGCATTGCTTTTGTTAAGCACACAGTATTCACAGTTCGTGATCTTTCTTCTAAGTATGGTACTTAAGAGGATAAACCTTAATATAATGCTTCGTCATATCTTTTTTGTTAGCTAAATCCCTATCACTAGAGACTGCCAACAAATAAATGAGGCACAACTCAAATGTACATTATAAGGAATAGCATATGGTTGAGAAAGGCAATTTGGAAGGGGAGAAAAGCAATGCTGTTGCAGTATTTTACATCTGTTTGTCTGTATGCTCAGGTACATGCATCCTGACAACTATTCTTGGTATTCACAGGACTGTTGGGAATCTTCTGGGTAATCATTTAGCTAGAATAATACCTCCACAGTATGTTAATTAGTGACTGGTATCTAGCAACACTTCTTTTGTGAGGAGGGTAGGTAACAATTTTCTTTGGTTGTTTTGTCTAATTTATTTTCTAATTTAATTGACTAGAAATAGGTTTTTTAAATAGAAAAACAAGACAAAAAATTGACTCAGCATTCCCAAGCCCTTTAGCATTCCGCATTACCATTTTTCATTGCTCAAAACCTTTTCTATTTAACAACCTCAACTCTGTTATCCATTTTCTTAAGTCAATTTGGTTTCTCCCTTCCAAGTACTAACCAGGCCTGACCCTGCTTAGTTTCTGAGATCAGACAAGATTGGGTGTGTTCAGGGTGGGATGGCCGTAGACCAATTTTGGTTTCTTATGCTTATTCTCCCTTTTATCAGTAATAGTTTTCTATATTTGAATAAGGAATTTTCCTAATCTTTTGATCTATAGTTGTAAATTTCATTATTAGTACCATAAAATCTAAAAAACGCTTTTTAAAATATATATAACTTGTGTTGGGATTTATTACATTTAAAATGTAATACTGCCAAATGAAATCTTAGTGCACGTTTAGAAAGCATGTGAGTTATAAATATCCTGGTGTTGAAGCAAAGGCAAAGCCAATTCTTACCCCTCTTCTGTAGGAATATCAAGATCATATTGAGTAAATATTCAAGTGATGATTTAGCTTTAAAGGAAGATACTAATTTAGGGATCACATTAGTAACTGTGACAGCGTTAGGCTGTCTTATTTTATTTTCTAAGTTATTTGTACTCCAGTTCAAAAGACTCACAGCAGCCTTCATAGGAACTTAGGAGAATAATGACATGGACACCCACATGCTGTTAAAAATGTACTAAGGTTTCAAAGCTGCTACTGCAACCAGACAATGAGTTCAAGATGGTGAGTTATCACCTGAATTAAAATCAAGGCACTATGGGTCCCCCCCCCTCAAATAACCCTGAATTATTTCTGACTAAAAGAAGCACTGAAATTGTGAAGGATAATAAAAAGATTCCAACAAATCTTAAAAGTTAAAATTCTCACCATTGAGAATGTTAAAAAGTGCCTAAATCTTTTGTGTGCAAACTTGACTCCTATAACTGAAACATTCTTGAAATTACTTTCAGGCTTGCTGAAAACCATTTACATAAATATTTCGAACTATGAAATACATCAAAAAATGTGATCAAACTCTCAACCACCTAAAGTAAAGCAGTGCAAATCCTATTTTCAAACATAACTGAAAAATAATGAAATGAGGGATATTTATGAATAACTTGAAAATCTGTTGTATCAATAATTTAACCTGAAAAAAAGAAAAGATTCATTCCCAGCAGCACATCATACCTCACTGAACAAACTGTGACATCACAGCCAAAGTATGAACAAAAAGACTTGTGCCCTGGAAAAGTGAATAGAATACTACTGTGTTGTAAACAAAAGGAAAAACAGAGGCTGATGTATCAGTTTGTACATGGTGCGGTAGTCTAATGAAATGTACTCATAAGAAGAGTCAATGCTTTCATGCAGCACACACAATGGTTTGCTTTCTCTCCTTCACCCAGGCATATACATATTTTTACAGTATCTATACATACAGACTTTGAACCTACACAACATTCTGAAAGTAATCACACTTCCATCATCACGTGAAAAGGGAGAGTGACTGGGGTGAGGGACACTTGACTCCTGGATTATCTTCATGGCATCATTGTAAGCAAACCCAGCGCAGTGATGTGTCCTTGGTAACACTAGGTAACAGGCACAGAACCACCAGAAGTTACTAACATTGTTAATGCCTTTTGCATTCACTGGAGATCATTTCATAGCTGAGCTCCTTAATGTTTGGCAATACACTCTTTCCATCAAAAATATCCGGGCAACTGAAACACTGTCAGAATTGGCTATGTCCCTACAATCGTCTTCCTGCTGGCTGGTATTTAATGTACATCTATATCACTAGGCAGCATTTTCCCTGCCACTAATCCACGAACTAGAACATTCAATACTGCATTGCATGAAACTGCTGGAACTTCTCCTATCCTTAGGTTATCTGAGCAGCTCTTTCTGGGTCATCTCCTTCCTCCCTTGGCATCAGAGAGGAAGCATGTGTGCTACTGCGGTTGAACCTTAGAAGGATCAGTCAAACTGTCAGTCCTATGACGACCAAGTTGCTGCGGTTGCTGGGACTGGTGTTGCTGGTGATGTGACTGAGGGAAGGTGCTCTGCTGTAGTGGAAATGCAGCAGAGAGGATGAGCTGAGTTGAGGGATTCCCATGGAGCAATCTAGAAGTCTAAAAAACAAATGGATTATGCAATATCTCTATCCCATTACACTGTCCATAAAAGATTCACTCAAATTGTCTACAGGGGCAAGATCTTTAACTTCTCATTTTCCACCTCTAATTTAAAGACTTTATTTTTGGAAAACACTTATGAGGCTTTCTTTCTGAAAGAAGAGTTTCATTTTACAAAGGAATATCTGGGCTGGAGATTTCTTTTTTCTTGTTTTGTTTTGAGATGGTCTTGCTATGTAGTTTAGACTAGCCTTGAACTCATTATGGAGCCCAGCTGGTCCAAAATTCACAGCAATGCTCCTGCCTCAGCCTCCCAAGTGCTGGGATTATAGGTGTGCACCATCGTGCCCAGCTGGACTTGAGATATCATAGTATAAAGGCAATTAGTCTTTCACTTTATGTCCTAAAGACTCTGATTTTAAACACAATAATAGTGGAGCACCACAGTGACTATCTTAGTCACAAATACTTCGTGGCAAATAGACAATGCTTTTTGCGCACAGGCCTATCTGCTGGTTAAAGAAACAAAGCCAGCTGAGAGTCAGGCTGTGAGTAGATTGTAGGTTAAACTCAGGTTGCTCAGCCTACAGATGTGTGACTTGGTCGAGTTTTTTATTTCGCTAGGTCTCAGGCTCTTCATTTACAAAATAATAACAGTGTCTACTACATTAGGTTTTATAAATATTAAATGTTATTATTACTTAAAAGCACCATAAAAATTGTGAGCAAAATAAGTCTTGTATGTAGCAGTGTGATGCCACCAAAAAAAAAAAAACAAACCAAAAAAGGTACAGGACCAGTATGAGGAACCCTGTATTTGAGTTCTGTTTCACACTATTTTTACTTCTGGCATGTTCACTAATCTATAACTCCAGGATAAAAAAGAAAATTAATTTTTTAAAAAGAAGTACAGCTTTAGGGCTGGGGATTTAGTTCAGTGGTGCTGCGTTTGCCTCGCAAGCACAAGGTCCCTGGTACAAAAAAAAAAAAAGTACAGTTTTAAGATAATATATTTCATGCAAGGTTCTTAATTTTAAAATAGAGGATGACATGTGTAAAATGTGTATGAAGGATATGTACACACACACAAAGGACAGATCCTAAATCTTAATAGTCATTAAGCATTCCCAAAGAACTTCAGCTTTCTTTTTCTGTTATTAGGAAAAGTTTGTATAAAAGAATAATTTAGGATATTTATAAGCCTTATAGGATCATAACAGAGATGCATTTTGGAGCAGAAGTACAATTAGGAAAACTAAACTATATATAGTAAATATACTCAACAGTAAATATGTATTTATGAAGAGTACTGCCTATTTTATTTCTTTATGGGTCCCCCTGGGATGCTTCTTTTTGGGAGTATGGGAGAATGTTCATTCTTTTAGAGGTGTTCCTTCCTTGATAAAAGAAGGGTCAGAAGCTGGATCTTAAGGCACGACCTCTCCTTTAAGCTTCTGCTGAGTCTCACTGGCTATATTTCCCCTAAGAGACTGTGAGTATGACACTCAAGAGATACTTAGGCAACTACCCTGTGTTTCACATGACTAGAACAAGGATTATATTTGGATCAGAATACCAGAGCAGTGGGGCATGATAGCACAAGCCTATAGTCTCAGCACTGAGGCAGGAGAATTGCCATGAGGCAGGAGAATTGCCATGAGTTCAAGTCCAGCTTGGATTATACGGTAAGTTCAAGGCCAGCCTGAGCTACATAGTGAGACCCTGTCTCAAAACAAAAAGAATACCACAGCAATAATTAAGACTGTATTTATGCCTGAATATATACCATCCTCCATGGTATCTCCTAATTGTATCATGTGTCTTATAACTGAAATTGATGACATGTGCCTGGTCCACATGAGGTGGTCTCCAGGACAAATCAATGTTACCTGCAGTCAAAACTGCTCTAGCCAGGCCAGAAAGGAAATAATGAGACTTTCCGGTGAGGACACGGAGGTCCAGAAACTGGTTTTGTTAATTTCTTTGCTTACCACTCTGACCTAGATGACTTTCTTCTGTATCTTATGGATAAGCAGATCCTCTATGATTTACCCACATGATATCTGTGCCTGATTTTTGGTTAATCTAAATATCTATTACATTTGTTAACACAGTGGTCATAAATGACAGATAGCTGTATGTCTTATAGTATGCTCAACAATTTTCATGTCTTTTTTAATCCATGAGGTTTGAACTATTATCACTTGCACTTTATAAGGTTTAGAGCTAGATGTGATGGCTCATGCCTATCCCAGCATTCAGAAGGCTGAAGCAGGAGAATCACTGGGAGTTCGAGGCCAGCCTGGGCTACAAGTGAATTCAAAGCCAGCCTGAACTGTATAGCAAGACCCTACCTCAAACCAAAAGGAAAAAAAAATAAAGTTTAGCAAGTTTAAATAACCTGCTCAGATCACAGTGTGGTGTAGCAGCGGCTCAATTTCAGGGCGGCCTCATCCTACAGCCCAACTTCTAACTATGATATACACTATACCTTCACTGTGTTTCTCCTCTGACATTAATTTAGAAAGAAAAAATTCTAATAAAATTTAATCCAACAAAGTAATTTAAGAAAACACATATATCAGTATGTGATGACGTCTGTTATCAGCACACCAGCAAGTTCCCCTAGCAGTTGAGCATCAGATAAGATTCTGTTATCTAAACTGAAACCTCAGCATTCAGGTTTAATTGCAGTGTTGGCACTTTCTAATAAGTGAGTTTTGTGTTGCAGATTGGTCACTAAATGGTTCTCTGTCCATTGACCTATGCTAATAAAGAAATTCTCTTTGAAAACTCTGCCTTATTCAGAGTAGAGTTTGATGGGTATCTAGAAAGAGATAAGAGAAAAGAGGTCTTTCTTCTAATTCTAGAAACTCAAGCCCAAAATCAAACATAAGTGCCCTTGTGGGCAGTAGACCATTCCTCTACTCAGCAATTCAAGTAACAGGGTATGTTCATGGCAGGGCTAAAAGTCAAATCTTCCAAATACTCAACAAGGGAGAGAAAAATAGCTAATCAGCATAAGCATTCTATCTTACAGAGATTTAAATTGCATAATAAACTGTTAGGGATTTTTCAGATTATCTGCAAACCTGTTCATTTAATCCCTAATTCCATGATAAGTAAACAGGTTTGAGGCAGCTTCCCCAGGGGGAGAATTACCTGTAAAAACTGCTGTGGTGGATGGGTCAACTGAGCCTGAGATGGTTGCTGAACTGAAGGAAGCTGCTGCTCCTGGGAACTCTGTTGTTGTTGCTGCTGCTGCTGCTGCTGCTGTTGCTGTTGCTGCTGCTGTTGTTGCTGCTGCTGTTGTTGCTGCTGTGTCACCGACAAAGTCTGTGCCTGCTGCTGTTGTGTGGTGAAAGTAGGATAGGCAGTCACCACCTGACCCATAAGCATAGTACTAGGTACCATGACTGCTCCACAAGCTACAGGAGCAGTCACTAATTTGGTCACAAGTTGCTGACCTTGAGAAAATCTGTTAGAGGAAAGAAAGAAAAGAAATCAAGTCAAATGTACAAGGTATACATCATAAAAGGCAGTGATTTGAACATTTATCTGAAATAATACCCAATGATAATTCTAGTTTAGTTTTATAAAAGCTATACATTCCTGTTTTGTTTCTGTCTTTTAAAGATTCCCTTTGGGGTAGCATCAAAACAAAATATGTATGTAGCAAAATTAACATATGACAATAAAAACACAGGACTAACAAAAACTCAACTTAAAAAAATTTTATATTCAAAAGAATGAAGTTGGACTCTTACCGCACATCATATACAAAAATTAATTCAAAATCAATCTAAACATAAGAGCTAAAACTATAAACTCTTTAAAGAAAACAGGAGGAAAGCTTCTTGACAATGGACCTGGCAATGACAACAAAAATACAAGTGACAAAATAAAACAGATATTAAAAATTTGGGCATCATAGAACAAAATTAACATAGTAAAAAAGTAACCTACTAAAGGGAGAAAATGTCTGCAAATCATATATCTAATAAATCTGATTATCATAACACAAAACCATAACACATGAAGAACTGTTATAATTAATTCATTTTAAAAATGGACATAGGTCAAGCTTGAATAGGTATTTCTCTAAAAAGAGATATACAAATGGCCAATGAACATATGAAGAGGTACTAACATCACTAGTTATTAGAGAAATGCAAACCAAAACCACAAGGAAAAGGCACATTATACTCAATAAGACGGATTTTATAGAAAAATACAACAGGAAGTACTCAGTGTTGGCAAAGATATGGAAAACTGGAGCCTTTGTAGACTACTGGTCAGAATGTGAAGTGGTTCGGCCACTATGGAAAACTATATGGCAGTTCCTCAAAAATTAAAAAATATCATCTCATGAAGCAGTTCACTTCTGTGTATACAACACAAAAGAAATGAGAGCAGGGACTCAGATACTTGTATATTCATAACAGCATTTATTCATAATAACCAAACAATGGAAACATCCAAAGTATCCACTGAGAGGCAAAATGGGTAAACAGTGTGGTATACACCTTTGATAATGGTATATTATTCCACCTTAAAAAAGGGAATTCTGACAATGCTACAACACAGATGAACTTAGAACATTATTATGCTAGGTGAAATAGGCCAGTAACAAAAAGACAAATACTGTGTGATTCCATCTATTTAAAATACTCAAAGCAGCCAAATTCATATAGAGAGAAAGTAGAATGGCAGTTGCCAAGGATAGGTAGTTGGGAAAGTTTGGGAAACTTCAATGGGTAAGAAGTATGAAGCTTCTGTTTGGAAAAATGAAAAAAGTTCTGGAGATGGTTGGGGGTAATAGTAACAACTGTGTGAATAATACCATAGAAATACGTACTTTGAAAGGTTAATGTGATAAATTTTTTGTTGTATATATTTTACTACAATTAAAATTTTTTAAACATAAAAAGTATGAACTTTGTTATTTTATGAAATGACTAGGTACTTTATGGAGTCAATACATGTGGCACATGGTCCATTTACCATATGGGCCCTTAAGGCTATCATAAGGTAGTTTTTAAAAACTCCATTTACAGAAAAATTTTACACTGAAAGCTTTATCTTATAAACATAATTCAAAACAAATGACACTCTTAATAATGAAAAAAAGTACTTTAGCTTTATAAATTTATCAATGCCCACGGTATTAGAATTTATAATTTTCCTTCCTTCTTCCTCCTGTCTTAACAAGAACAATTCTGACTCTTTGGGAAACAATAGTAGTTTAGTTTGTCTTTTCTGTGAGATGAAGTTTGTTTCCAACATTGGCCATCTTAGCAAGGAAACTGAGGTATGACTTACTGTAGCATATCATAACTACAGTACACACTGTTTAAAATACACAACAACAGTAAACTTCTTACAGTACAAATGTGTACTTTTATGTTGCAGGGCTGGACCTGAACCCAGGGTCTCCTGCATGCTAGTTAAGTGCTGTATTACTGAGCTAAACTCCCAGCCTCTAAAATAAATGTTTTGGATTCATGCCAGATCTTGAAATAAAACACTGTATTTTATATACTTCAAATGTTTAAGTGCAAAAAACTTCCAAAACAAAAAACAAAATTTTACATATAAAGAAAGCTTAAACAAGTGACATTTAGAAAGTGTTTAGTCACAGAAGTGCTAAGTGCCAATTTCTGTTATCTTAAACAAAACTAGTATGTGAAATGTCCAAAGGCTCACTGATAAATGTGAGGAGAATACTTCATCCATCTCTGGTACCAAAAGACATTCTTTTTTTTTTTTTCCTTAAGTTCTTTTATTGGTACATTTTAGGTATACAATTTTATATTTATCATTGGATGTTTGTACCTGTACATGATGTAACTTGGTTCTTATTTTTTCCCCATTACCTGTGTGCCCTTCACCCCCTCCACCCTTCCCTATTTACATAGACATCATTTCCATTTTTTTTCTTTTCTCATAATTTTTCCTTTCCCTTCTTTCCTTTCCCCTTCCCCTCCCTTTACCCCTACGTCTTCAAAAGACATTCTTTAACTTATTTTGTTCAACTCATACTTCTGTGGCTTTGTAAGTAGTAAGTAGTTTTTGCTTTGCCTAGAATACCTTCTACGACCCCAAACTCAAGCATCTGCTCCTCAGTGAAGCCTTTTTTCCTGAACACTCACTCTCTCCTCTCTTCATCTGCTTGCCTCAATCTATAAAACTGCTCACTTCCTCCTTCAAAGGAGTGTAATTAATGATGGAGTGCTCATCCCACTAAATAATACTGACTTACTACTTTCCTACTACTAGCTAGCCTGGCCTTTCCCATAGAGTTAAAGACTATGCTATACCTAATGTATGTAGGCTTAAATTTTTGCTCAATTATGTTTCCCCTCTCAAACAAAAAAGGTGTGTATAAAAACTCATTAAAAATGCAGGTAAGCATTTTAGTTTAATGGGAAAAAATGCAATTTTTGGTTATCTTGTATTTAAATAACTGGACTGGTAAGTGGCTAATGTCTTTCTTCTCAAGCTTTCCAATCACGCCTCTGGCTGCAGGCATAGTTCAGTGATAGAATGTGTATTTCGTAGGTAGGAGGCCCTGGATTCAATCATTAACAAAAAGAAAAACAAATCAGCCCCTTGCATTTCTATGGAGCACATCAGTAAGTCTTCCATTCAGAATATAAGAGCTATAAGTTGGACTCTTTAAATTGAGGAAACTTCTCTCAGGTCCCATTACCTCAGTAATGGTGCAGATTCTTTATTCTGAATATTATTAGCATGATTTTAATTTACACTGCTTAATACAACAGTAAGTATTGTACATAAAAGGAACAGTGTAGTTAAAGTAAGAAAAAATGTAAAGCATTTGAAATGGGAGAGCTTTTTAAGCCTTATTCAATTTATTATGAATTAACTCTTGTTTTTCATGTTTCCTAAGTTAACTGTTATATTCTAATCTTGTGTTTAATCATTTTACTCTTTGTGTAACATTTTTTGTTCTATTTTGAGAGTCTCACTATGTTGGTCAGTCTGGCCTTTAACTCACTGTGATCCTCCTGCCTCAGCCTAGCCAAGTGCTGGGATTACATGTGTGCACCACTGTGCCTTACACTCATTGTACAAAATCTTGATCACTGTGTTAGATCTTTTTGATAATAAAGACAAAATTAAAAAATTAAATCGGAGACTTAAGACTACAGAGATCTTATAGTTTTTAAAAGATATCTTCCTGGGTCGGGGACATAGCTCAGTGGCCCCGCGCCTGCCTTGCAAGTGTAAGGTCCTGAGTTCAATCCCCGATACCGGGGAGAAAAAAAAGATATCTTTCCAGTATTTGAATGACATTTCTAAAAAAATTGTTTCGAAGTCAACTATTTAGGCTCCTCACTAAAATATAAGGTGTGATCAAAAAATGTGAATACCAAAATTTTAAAAATGTATTACAGTAAAAGACACATTGTTATTAACTGCCCTCAAAATGCTCCCTCTTCCCCAGCTTCGTATACACTCATCCCATCATTCTTGTAGCTTTCTGAAGCAATTCTGGAAGACCCTTTTCATGCTTTTTGTTGTGCTGTCAGGGCTGCTCAGTGCTCTCATGGTTACTTTGACTTTGGGGAACAGCCACAAGTCAAATCGTGCCAGATCTGGTGAATAAAGTGGATAAGGGCACACTATATGTTTTTATATGACAGAAGTTTCCACCATACCAGAAGTGATGTGTGACACAGCACTGTCATGACAGAGGATGAAACTGCCCATTTCATAGGCTGTTTTCTTTGCACACTGTAAGCCCTATCATATTCAGAGGTCACTGTAGTGTTCCTGGGTATAAACTCAGCTTATATAGAGGTCAAAAAACATAACAGACATAGTTTTTTTTACATGAGGAGAACTGGGTAATTTCCATTGAGAACTCTGAACTTTGGTCTCAGGGCCACAACCATAGACTCAAGTTTCATCTCTCATGATGACATGTCCTAAAAAGCAGCACTCTGAAAGTGGTACAAACCCCAAAATCTAATGAAACCGACAAAAGGTGTTATTTTTGTCTGGCAGTCAAAACACGTACTCACTCACCTCATGTTCAAATCTGCAGTTAAAATTTTCTGAATGGGACCATAGCCAAAACTTGTCATACCCACTATTACTAAGGTTCAATGCACTGTTTCTTGTTTTGAAGGCCCTCGCCTTTCTACTGGATGGCAATCAGCAGCTGCATTCACTATATATATATTTTTTTCATACCATATGAAGTCACTGAAGGGTATTTTTCTAGCATACTGCACACAAGCTCAGTGTAGTACATGTTTAAGCAGCTGAACTTTGAAATCAGACACTCACATTTGAGTCCAGAGCTGCCTCCTCACTGACTTAATCAGCAATAGACCCTTGACCAAATTATTAAAAACCCACTTTTGATTACCTGGGGAATGAAAGACAATACCAATATACATTAAAACAAAAAGAGGAATGGCTATTTTGAGCACTTAAGAAAGGTATGCTGTAGTAACTGGTGTTATTACATGAAACTTTAATATCTGTATTGAAAAAAGTTTCAGAGTGCCACAAAGCCTATCATAGGCCTTGTATAACAATGTGCTACAAAATATGGATACTATTATATTTGGTAACTCATTATTGGACAAGAAATAAAATGTGAAGTTATTCTTTTATTATAAAGCCTTTAAACAACAGATTTGTGGGCTGGGGATTTAGCTCAGTGGTCCAGCCGCTTGTCTCGCAAGCACAAGGTCTCGAGTTCAATCCCCAGTACCAAAAAAACCAACAACAGTATATTTGTGCTTTGATTTCAAATATAAGAACAATGGCTTCAGTAAGCAAGAAATGTAAAAAAATCAAATTATTCCCTTTTTTTTTTGGCAGTGCTAGGAATTAAATTCAGGACCCTGTGCATGTGAGGTAAGTGCTTTAATACTGAAATACATCCCTAGCCCCAAATTACTGCTTTTAAGCAATCACTTTTCAACTCTGCAAATGAGAACTGAGGTATGACAACTACCTTATTTGTCTGTCCTGAGTGAATGTGGTTACTGCACCACCCTGGGTGCTGTTCTGTGACATGCTGGATGGAATCTGGACCATGCTCCCGGGTGCAGGCTGAGAGATGACCATCGTGTTATACAGTGGGGCCGTAAGAGCGCTCTGCGTCTGACTGGGAAGAGATGTTTGTTGACTGTGCCCACTCAGTACACTCTGTTGACTTTGCTAGAAAAGAGAAGGTTTTACAGAGAGATTAACTAAACAAAGTTATTTAGGAAGTCTGCTTCCACTATTTACAGTTTAAACAACTGCTGACCTAACAGTGAAACAGTGCCAAGATATATTACTTTGAGAAAACTCTAATTCCAAAGGAGCAACCTTTGAGCCAAAATTAAATCTCTCCTCTCTTAAAAATAAAACAACACAAAAGACAAAGAAATGACTTGTAGTAACTGAAAATGAAATAGTCTTGAATTCCTTGCTGCAAGGGAAGCTATGATTCTATAAGGAGAGTGATCGTTAACAGGGATTAGAGAAAATATACACAAAGGATTTCTGTTAAATGTCCTAAATGAGTGACCAATGATTAGATATTTTTATATTTTTCATTTATAGTCACAGATGTACAGTAATTACCAGAATTTTCTGCAGTGTTTACTAACACATTCCTAGTAGCTTGACCCACTGGTGGTACATGCAATGAGTGTCCCATCAGGTGGCTTGTAGCACTGTTGGTACAAGTGGTACAGTCATGCATGTAACATGAGTGGCTCAAGCTGCCTGGCCCTGTGGTGAATGTGTTAAACCATCACTATCCCCCCCACACCCAGTATATTCCACACATGTGGTGATGTGTTTGCTTCATTTGCAAATCATAACTTTTTAACATAAAGGAGACTATATAAATGATAAGGGCCCATTATAATTACCAAACTAGATCCTTAAACAAATTGTAAAATTTTTTGAATGTCAAAATATTGAAAATATTTAATAACAATTTTTCAAAAAATATTTTAATATTTAATATTATGTATTCTAATTACTACTAAATTTTAAAAGATAGTATTAGAGATTTATTTCTGTTTTAGCACTGTACATATTTCAATCACTGGACGCTACTCCCTGGCTGACTGCACTTGACAACATTACCTGAGTTGATGTACTTTGTAAAGTCTGTTGTTGCATCAGGTGCTGACTTGTGCCCATGTGTCCAGCACTCATTCCACTTTGAATCTGGTTGGCAGGAACAACCTGGCTTTGCATATTTATAGATGTGAGCTGCTGGATAGCAGATGTATTTCCAGAAGAAAGTTGAACAGAACCAAAATTCAATCCAGGGTTTGACTGTTGCAAAAACATCTTTGAAAACAAAAATTACATTTAATATTTTTTGGTAGTACTGCGAATTAAACTTGCCCTGAAGCATCTGAGGCAAGAACTCGACCCCTGAGCTATATCCCCAGCCCTAAATGACTTCTGTAGTTTAAAAATAAAGAACAGTGACAGCATGAAAAGAAAATAAGAATTCCACCGCCTGCCTTGCAAGTGCAAGGTCCCGAGTTTGATACCCGGTACCAAAAACAAACCAACAAAAAAAGAAAATAAGAAAAATGAAATTTCAAACTAAGTTTAAAAGGCAAATAACAAGACCATAACTAGTTTTGAGTGGAGAATTAGTAATAATTACTGAATAAAATATGAAACTTCATATTCATTCTCCCAGCCATTCTAATGCTAGCATGTTTCCAACCGTTAACAAGTTTATCTCAGTGCTACTCAAAGCTCTGTAAACTGGCAGGTTTGTATCTACCATCACTCAGTATCTATGATAGCAGACAAATGCAGTTTTTATTTCTCCTACAATGGTGTTCTTGGTTGATTGAGTCAGATGAATACAAATCATACCTACTAGTATTTTATTAAAACTATTACAAATTTTGTACCTCAAAGCTACTGTAAAATATAATTTTTACAATAGATTTGACTTACTAAAAGTAGGACTTCATTAATCTTGAGAAATAAGGATGTTAATGAAACCATTCTTAGGAATGAGTATTTGGATTAAGTATAATCATACTGTGCAGGTAACCAATGGGTATTTGCTGAACTAGTGAAATGCATCTAATTTTCATTTTTTTAAAAAAGGCAATTTCCACAGAAGGCAGACTATTTTAGACAAAAGGAAGAGAATGGGGCAGTGGTAATGGAGGAGAGCAGGGGATGGATAAGATCAAAATGTGCTATATGCATGTGTATGAAAACATCACATTTAAGCCCAATATTTTGTAAAATTTATACAAACAATAAAAATGCATTAAAAAACCATTTTCCTAGGAAACCAAAATGCAAATGGGATACTTTGTACTTAAATATAAAAATAACTTACCTGCAGCCCCTGACCATGGACCATTTGAAGTTGTTCTTGAATTTTCCTTAGTTCTTCTTGTTGTCGATGAATATTTGCCTCTATCATCCGTGTCCGTTGCTCCAACTGGTCTTTCAGATGCTGCATGGCTCCTAATTGAGCTGAAAACTGAAACTGAAATACCACATGTGGAAAAGTAAAACTTATTTTTAAATTATTTGCTCCACATAATTGTGCAATATGAAAAGTAAGCAGTATATCATGGGTTATCAGTACCAGGCCAGTTATTGATGTATTGCTTGCCTTTCAGCTTCTAACCTGCCCATCTTTGATCTGCTTTGGGACCTTGGACCTGCAGGCACAAAGTTAGCTAGGTCAGCAGATGGCGCTGGAAGGATACTGCCAAAGAAAGCACTTATTTTCCAGGTTCTGGTGCTTTCCTCCTCATTCTAAAGTTAGAAGTGCTAGTGGGCAGCTCTGTGATGAGTCTCATCAGCAAGTAGGCAGACAGATTTCTAGCAAGTCTCAGTGACATGCCAGTGGGCAGCTTCCTAGCAAATTTCACCAGTCCCCGCAGGTGGCTTCCTGCTCTCTGGCCCTCCTTTGTGGTACCTCAGTGAGCTTCTGTATCACACACCTAGATCTGAATATGAGCCTAGCATGGGGGACAGGTGACTAAGAGGCTGGGGGGCTTCCAATTCTGTCCCTTCCTTAGATGCTCTCCTTCTGACTTACAGTTAGTGCCTGCTCTCCACATCTCCTCTTCCCTATGTTCTTTACATTCTCTTTCCTTCTTTTAGGTACTACTTAATTTTCCACAGTATCCCTCTTCAAATTTCTGGTATGTTTTTGATTTCTGAGTGGACTATAGCTGATTACAAGTACAGTACATCCTTAGGTCAGAAGACCTGAACTCATATTATGTGGCTCAATCACTTACTAGAACATGTTACTTATCTCTTACTTTCATTTCTGCTCTTTAACAAACTAAAATGTAGCCTGAACCTGGAGCTATCCCTAAATGTCTTCTATGTGTACATAAACAGAACTACCCAAAGTTAACAAAAACCTAACAGATAACCAGTATTATTACTTTCACTCATATTTTCAACTGATACTGTCCTCCGAAGTTTGAAACATAGGCTTTCAAAGACTAAGCAATTATGAACAAATCAGTGAATGAAAAAAGTTATTCTACTTCCAGGGTTTTCCTTATTTCTCTATTTTCTATTACTTGTAATTTAGCCCAATTTGATGATTCATTCCGAAGTCAACACAGGCTCATTTGATTATTTTCATAAATACAAGAATCCACCAAAAAAATGTCTACACATTTCAACAGTTCGCCATTCTAGTAAGTTTCTGGAAGCTGATGGCCACCACTTTGAGGACCCGTTGTAATTGTAGAGGCCAAAGGTAATGTATTAATCTCATGATGTCTCAATAAATTTAATATTAAAATATTTATGCAAGGTTTTCTTTTCCTGATGTATACATTTTTTTGGCGGACTCTGTATTTATTAAGTACATAAGAGTTGGGCCGGGGATTTAGCTCAGTGGTTCTGGCGCTGGCCTCACAAGCAAAAGGTCCCGATTTCGATCCCTGGTACCGGAAAAAAAAAAAAAAAAAAAAAAGAGTAGGAAGAGTTTCATTTTATTGGAAATCTGTGTTAAATAGTCTACAGTGAACTGCACTTAAAAGTGAGACCACCCCTCTCCCATGCTTTTTTATTGTCTTCAAAAGTTTATATTAAGGATACAGAGTATTACTTTTCAACGTATACAACTTTGAGTTCTGAAGTTGAAACCAGGCAATATCACATACTATTCTACTACATTTGAGAAATTATAAATTAGTGCCTCAACTCTCTCTCAGCCCTTCTAAAATATGTCAAAAATGTTATATTTATTATACAAGTATTTTTATTTGAAGTAAAGTTATCTGAACCTATAGGTAAACCTTATGTTGTCATCATTTAAAGGATTTCTGTTAAGTACAAATAAAAAAATAGAGATAAATTCAGAATACAAGATCTTAACAGAAAATAAAACCACGGAACAAAGAAGCAAAGTGTTTAGTTTTACTGTGAATGTGAGATTTGAATGCTTATTAACATTTTTGACATCGTACATATTTATTTCATAAAAGTATCCCCTATAAAACATTAAGAAATGTTTAATCAGTATCCTGAGATTAAAGAACTAATAATATTGAAAGTATGTCTAAATATTTACATGAAATATTTGCTAATATATCAAATTAGAATTTGATGACTCATGCTGATTAAAAACTGCTGCACCTAAATATAATATTTAATACTAGAATGCTTTTATAAACATCTTACATGAATAGTATATTGCTAGAAATTAGGATTACAAAGTTTAGATATTTAATGCCAAACAAAACAGTGAAAGAAGCTGGGGGATGTAGCTCAGGGGTAGAGCACGTTTCTAATATGCACAAGGCCCTGCATTTCATCCCTAGTATAAGAAACAAAAACAAAATGGCCAGAAGATTTTATATGATTGTATATTTATTACTACACAGTAGTATTTTTAATGTATTTGAGAAATTGAATGAGTTGTAAATCACAAGTTGAGAAGTTGTGATCAAAGAATTGCTCTTAGATTTATTCTTCTTTGTCTTCCTAATTTCTATACTTAGCCTTTCTCTGGCAGGCCAGGCAAATATTCTCCTGGGAAGTTTTCCTTCACTTCCTCAGGCTGCATTAAGGGTCCACATGGGCCAGGGATTTAGTTCCGTGGTTTTGCCGCCTGTTGTGCAAGCACAAGGACCCAAGTTCAATCCCCGGTACCAAAAAAAAAAAAAAAAAGGTCCACATGATGTGCATAGACTATATATAATACAGTATCATGGTCATCTGTTGTTTCCTCATTGTCTTTTTTTGGGGGGAGGGGTACCAGGATCAAACTCAGTATCTTGTGCTTGCGAGGCAGGTGGCAGCACCGCTGAGCTAAATCCCTGGCCCCTCATTGCCTTTTAATATGGTTACTAAAAATATTGTCAACATTTGTCATATATGAATGAATGAACTAATAAATGAATAAAGTTAACTCTTCTGATATCCATAGAAAGAATAAAATGAACTGGTATATTTCATCTTTAATATCTTCATGTCTTTTTTCTTTAAAAGACAGGGATTTGTTATGGTAACTTTAAGCAGGATGCTTTTTTGTTGTACCAAACTGTCAGGCATCCCAAAGGACACTTAACTTCTCTGGTCCACATCCACAAAGGGTTAGTGGTACCTCATAACCACTGCCACAAACAAAAATATCCCTAGATACTCCAAATGTCCCTACTTAAAATCCACTACATCTATAACTATACACATATAAAAACTATATATAACTATATGTATATAACTATGTAATCACTTTAGCTGAAAAGCAATTTATCATTCGTAAGTACTCAACTAAAACAAACAAACAAAAAATACCTGAGACATGCCTTGTGGAATTGGTAAATTTGCAGCTTGAGACATCACTGGCTGTGTTAAAGAAGGACCAACAGACTGGGAATTTATGGACTAGAAGCAAAATAAATAACTGAAATTACTGAAGTAATGTTTATTCTCATACTTCCACCAGAAACAGCGACATGATATGTTTATCACAAACTCAGAATTTGCTTCATACTTCTGTTAGCTGAGTACAGCTGTCTCCCTCTTGACACTGAAAGAATCTGTTCCTTATCTACGTTTTATCTTCCAGTGTATCTATCACAGAACCGTGCATGAGCTCTAAGTAAAAGTTGGCTGGACTTAACAAAAGACAAATGGTATTTGAACTTAAGATATAAAACAGCTCTCAGTTATCAGCTTTTCATACAGAAAATCTAAAACATTTTACCTGAAAAATAGTAAAAATGTATGACAACCACTTCACAAATTAACAGACAGACCTTGAAGAAGTGTCATATCAACTATTTGGATCTTTACAGAAAGCAATAATTAATCAATGAACTTAAGATTTAGATAATTTTTCCTTTTCAGTAAATCTTTTCTTCCAAAGAATATTAATTAAATAGCTTACTTGACTACTAAATGATGATCTCCTTTGTGCCATCTTTTCATGAGTTGGTAAATGCTGTCTGGGAGGAGTGCTAGTATCCGTTGGGATCTTTGTTGGTGTTGCTGAAGTTAGCCAAAGAAAAACAGAATAGCATTAATAATCATAAATACAGTTTTCAAACATTGCTCTCAAAATGTACTGCAGTGAATAAAAATGGTCTTTGAGTTAGTTTTACAAAATAAAAGTAAAATGAATGACTATAAGATTAATTTTAATTCTTTTTTTAAAAACAAAGAAAATATTTGACATAGACTTAATATAAATACAGTAACTATAGTCCTTCCCTCAATATGTATAGTGGATTGGTTCCAGGACCACCTGTGAATACCAAAATCCTAGGATGCGCCAGTCCCTTATATAAAATGGCACAGTATTTTCATTTAACTTGTGTACATTCTCCTGCATACTTCAAATCACCTCTAGATTCTTAAATAATTCCCAAGACAATGTAAATAAATGTGGTACTGTGTTGTTTAAAGGGACAATGACAAGAAAAATAGCCTGTACTTCTTTAGTAGAGATGTTATATTTTTGGAACATTTTCTATCTATGGTTAGTTAACTCTACTGATGTGGACCCATACATTCATAATCAAACTCAGGACCTTGCACTTGCGAGGCAGGCGTGGTGCCACTGAGCTACATCTCCAGTCCAGGCTAATTGTAATTTAGTGACTTATGTAAGTCTTCATAAAAATCAGACCCTAAAAAACTTTCATAAAGCAGAGCCGGGGATTTAGCTCAGTGGCACCACGCTTGCCTGGCAAGCACAGGATCTGGTGTTTGATTCCTGATACCAAAAAACAAAACAACAATAACAAAAACCTTTCGTAAAGCAAACTATAGAACACTGGCTCTACAGTGAAAAAGAATTTTTCTTTCTTTTTGAGGAATGGTTAAAAATAACATTACCACCTAAATGTTATATAGATCATTCGATAATAATTCTTTGTTAAAGGTAAACAATGTGCCTCTTAGTGGAAAGGTAGATAGATATACTTAAAAATTGTAAAAAATTTTAACTTTAAAGAAGTATTTTGCCAAAAATTCTGATATCATTTAACATAAAACATAAATAATTCAGAAATACTCTCTTTTACAGAAGTCTGCCTCCAAGCCAACATACTCACAGGAAGGGTCTGAGACTGCTGTGTGAGATGATTTTCTTGAACTCCGGGAGGAGGCAGAAGGGGTTGGGCTGTGATCAAACCTTTCCAATGCTTCTTTGAGACTGACCGTGTTTATTCGATTATCAGACCCAGAATCTTGGCTCTACGAGACAGAGAAAAATGTCTTCTTGTAGTTCAATTCAGCACTCTCAAATTAGTAGTATTTCTTGCTAACCAAAAGATATAATAAAAAATTTAAAAATTCTATTTTTACCTATAACAAGGCAAAAGTATAGGTAAAGAAATGAAAATTTATTTTTGATAGTGCAAAAATTTTGGCTTCACTATTTTAAAAAAACAGTAGAAAGACTGAAATTAGAGACTATCTTACACCATATAAAATATTAAATCAACATAGATCAAAGAACTACCTATCAACAACTATAAAACTCCTGAAGAAAACATCAGGCAAAGGTTTCATGACATTAAATTTACCAATAAACTGGCTTCATCAAAATTTAAATTTGTGCATCAAATAACACTATCAAAAGGTTAAAAATCCCAGAGTAGGAGGAAATATTTGTAAATCATACTTGTCTAATAAGGATTTAATATCTAGAATGTATAAAGAAGTCCTATAATTGAACAAGGAAAAACCACCTAATTTAAAAATGGGTAAAGTATAAAATAAACATTTCTCCAAAGAAGATCTGCAAATGACCACTGAGCACATGAAAAGATGTTCAACCTCACCAGTAAGGAAAATGCAAGTTGTAACAACAATGAGATATGACCTCACATCCATTAGAATGGCTATTACCTAAAAAAAATAAAAAATAGAAAATAACTAGTATTGTCAAGGTTGTGAAGAAACTAGAACTTTTGTGTCTTGAGGGTAAAAAGAGCACAGTGACTATGGAAAACAGTATGGCAGTCCCCCCCCCCGCAAATTAAACAAAGTATTATGATATGTGAGTACATACCCAAAAGAAAAGAAAGCTGGAACTCAAACAGCTATTTTTGTACATAATTGTTCATCGTCGCATTCCTCACAATGACCAAAGGGTGAAAATGACCCAAGAATCCATTGATGGGTGAACAAATAAGCAAAATGTGGATATACATAGAATGGAATATTATCTACTTTTAAAAAAGGAGAATTCTGAGACATGCACATGATGAACCAAGAGGACATTATGGTGAGTGAAATGAGTATGTTATGAAAGGAGAAATACTGTATAATTCCACTTTTATGAGGTACATAGACTAGTCAAATTAAAAAACATGAAGTAAAGTGGTGGTTGCCAAGGGCTGAAGGAGGGAGGAATGGGGAATTGTTTAATATGTATGGAGTTACATTTTGGGAAGATTAAAAAGTTTTGGGCATGGGCAGTGGTGATAGGTATACGATGGTGGAATGTACTTAATGACAATGAACTGTACCACCTTTTTAAGTATATGTTTGCAGTATATAATGATTATATTTCTGTGTGGAATTGGTATATATACATAAACATCTGAATTCTTTTTATCTCCCCTTCCTACTGTACCCCTGAAATGGAATTTTGTTATGTGTATTTTTACCACTTAAAAAGGAAAGTCTAAACGAAAAACAGAATAAAGATGACACTTTAGTTTATACAAAGTACTGTAAGCATCTTTAGAAGTCAGCATTTGACTACTCAAAAATCATCTTCACGGGCTGGGGATTTAGCTCAGTGGTTCCACCGCCTGCCTTGCAAGCGCAAGGTCCTGAGTTCAATCCCCAGTACCAAAAAAAAAAAAAGATCTTTTTCACTCCATTTCTGATCTTTCTCTATGATTTTAATATCTATGGACAAATCATTCAATACCTGATTTTGGCCTCTCAGCTAAGAACTCACATCCAATAATCTTCCTAACTCTATTTCAATCTCTGCCTTGTCACCAGCAAACACTATAGCACTTCTAACAGTAAAAGTTAAAACGCCATGTTAAACCACACTTTCCTCTATTTCTAGCTCATTTGTTTAAGGATACCACTGAAAAAAATTGCAGCCACACTAAAATGATCACCAGCCTCAGATGGACACTCAATACTAGGTACCAGCACTGTTAAATGTTTTTGGTGGAATCACTGTCTTACTCAATCATCCCATGCCTTTTCTACTGTTCTTAAACCTGTCCTCTCTCAACTGTGCTATAAAAAACCCCCCAAAAGCAAAGAAGTAATGTTACTCATTGCTTTATCTTCTCTACCCTAATTGTTATTCAGGTCTTCACACCCTCCATTTTATCTCATTGCTTCCCAGCCTCTGAAACCTTTGCCTGCCTTCAGTGCCCCTCACTAAAGTGCTCAATCTTGACTGTAAACACTCCTTCAATGCCTTACTCTAATTAAAACCCAGATCCCACCGAAAGACACCACTTTGCTTCTATGTCTCATCAGTGGTGGCTGTTTTCTCTCTCACAGCTTTTAGACTACATTATCTTTACAACCAGAGGAGATGTCCTCCTACTGATGTTTTCAGATCACTTTACTTTTCTCCTTTTCCCAAACTCACAGGTCTAAAGCTCATATTACCATATTATGTAACTCACTAACTCTGACCTTGTGGTCACTTTCCAGCAAGTACCTTAATAAATTTTAGCTGGCAGCTCAGTATTTCTCATTAATTAATAATCCTAAGGTTATCTATAGTCACATATTCAATACCATGACTTTTCTCTTCCCCGATGGGCTCTCCTCCAAAGATCTTGACTCCCACCAGTCCTCAGACACTAATTCTTAATCATATCCTTGAGCTGTTATTAGTAAGAATAAAATTTCAAATTCAAATATATGACTATAATTCCCTACAACATTCACTTTCCTACACAACTATTTAACATGGTTCTTAAACCTTCTTAAGACATTCTTCTTAAACCTTCAGCAACTTTTCTTACCTGACACTTAGCTGGTAACTCTGGTTCTTATTTCACTCAGTATTGCTATAAGCTCCCACTACTCTACATACTTACTTACCAGCTGGATTAACTAGCACTGAAATTTTGCCAAGAGAAGGGAGAGAGGACCCAGGGAGTTGAAGATATATACATGGTTACAATAATGAAACATAGATTTATGCTGGATCAAGAGGGGAAAAAAGACAAAGTTAGAGTGTGATTGTGAAAATGTGATATTTTCATTACCTTTCCTCAGGTTGCTGCAAATTATGGACCAGCCAAATCTTTCTGTAATGCTGTTTCAGAGAGTCAATCTTTTAGGCTTTGTGGGCCATACAGTCACTGTCACAACTATTCAATGTGGCTGTTGCAGCATAAATGCAGCTTACAGGCAATATGTGAACAGTTGAGTGTGGCTATGTTATTTATGAACATTGGAATTTAAACATGATATACCTCTCATCTGTCATAAAACATTATTCTTTTGATTTGATACAAAAAAACATTGTAGATTGGCCAAGGAATTTAGCTCAGTGGTTCCGCCGCCTGCCTCCTAAGCACAAGGAACCGAGTTTGATCCCCAGTAAAAAAAAAAAAAAAAAAAAAAAATTGTAGATTGTGGGTATCACAAAGCCAGTGAGAGGAGATTCAACCTCCTGTGGCTAAATAATTTGTCCCCATAGCTAAGCCCAATCTTTCCACTTATGTACTAGATCCCATCTTCTCTCACCTAGTCCAGCACACTGCTCTAACATGTCTACACTTGATCTTAGCCAAAAAGTCAAGAAGCAATTGCTGTAACAATTGTACTTCTTATCTCTCCCATCATCATTTTTTCTTTCTCCATCAGATCATTCTTATTAGTATAAAAACATGCTATTATTTAACTCATTTTAAAAAACAAAAACAAATGCCTGTTTTACTGGCATTTTCTCTCTCTGAATTTTCTTGCATGCTTTCTCTGCTGGAAGGAGTAACCTACAAAGAAAGGGAGGAGGGTGGCCTCTGGCTGTCAAGGAATCAATGCCCTCAGTCCAACTGCCCATGATGAACAAAAGCGACCCAACAAAAACAAACAAACAAAAACAAAAAACAAAAAAAGAAGAAATTGAGCCAACAATCACTGAGGGAGGTGGAAATAAATTCTGCCCCAGATGAACACTGAGATGACTGGTGCCCCCAATGACACCTTCCCTGTAGCCACATTATGGATCCTGCAGCGGAGGGTCCAGCTAAACTGTGCCTGGATTTCTAACCCACACAGACTATGAGACAATAAATGTGTGCTTTTTTATATCACTGTTTTGGAGTAATATAATAAAAAGGATATAATAAAAAAGGAACCAGAGTTCAAATTCCTACTATAATTTCCCAGTATGTGTCTTTAGGAGAGGTCACTTTCAATATTTTCAAAGTAGGGACATTCCCTAACAGGGAGTAAATCATATTTCATAATTCACATAAAGAACCTAGCCAGCGCCTAGCATATCAAAGACTAGTAAAAATGGTACTTGTTAATCTGAGATCACATATATTGCTCACCTAATTATTGCTAATTGTCAGGGTTTTCAATTCTTTCTCAGAAGCAAATAAGAATTTAAATATTAAATTAAAATTAAAAACAATAAAGTATAATCATATCCCTGTCACAACTGAGGAAATGAAATATTTAAAAAATAATTACTCTATCGATTGTGTTTTACTGGGAATAAATTAAATAAACTTTTTAAAAACAGACTAAGAAACATACTTTGTCAGCAGCTGTCTCAGGAAGAGACTCTTCAATACCAAGTTCTCGTCGTCTTTCAGCCCTTACTTCTGCGTAACTACAAATGGAAAGAATCAAATTTTAGTGTTGGGCATTTATTTTAAAATTCTGAGGAGCTGCAAGCATTCAGTGTTTGTTATGTGTCTCACTTGTTCGTCACAAATTCTAGACTATTTTCTATGTGTTACACAAACCTAAAATATCTCTATCTTAATTCAGTTTGCATTTTTCTAGGTAACTCAAAGTTTTGTATGCTACTATAAATATTCCCCAACTATACAACAGGTAAATTAAGAAGAAATAGATTAAGGAAGAGTATGTTCATCTACTCCAGTTTTTCCTCTGCATGACTGAGTTTGGTATATAAAAGACAGTACAACTTCTGGTGTAAAACAAAACTTATGTCAAGTATTATACATCTACCTACTACTATATTATATTTATATAATGCCGTAAGTAAATTTAATAATACGCTGAAAGATATATTAAAAACTGGAAAAAAGATCACTTTGTAATTTATCAACAGGTCATGAATAAAAATTACAATGTCAAAATCATTATACAGGGTGTTAGTGAACTTCAGAAATTCTCTAAAAGAATTATTACCTTACTACAGTGTGTGTACAAACAATAAACTCCGGCCTTGAATTCCACTGATGATAAGTGATATAATAATGAGTTTGAAGCCAAATCCACTGTTGCCCTTTGGTCAGGAACCTGTAATAACATGATTTACCTTTCCCGTATTGCATTACTAAAAAGAAAAGAAAAATTTTTTTTTCTTTGTCAATATTCAGTTATGAAAAATTTGTCTTTTAACCAAAACTAATCATTTACATTTAAATCTATAATACAACATTTATTCTGGCATTTCAAAAACATATATCAATTGTAAGAAAATGCTATTCTTTAGACCTAGCTTAAGATCTCAAGCAATTATCAGATCTTCCACAATATCCAACTTTTTTCCCCAGTACTGGGGATTGAACCCAGGGCCTTTGCACTAGGCTAGATTCTCAACCCTTTAAAAATTTTGTTTTAAATTCTGAGACAAGGTCTTGCTAGGCTGCTTAGTTGCTGAGGCTGGGCTTGCACTTGTAATCCTCCTGCCTCAGCCTCCCAAGGTGCTGGGATTATAGACATGTGCCACTGTACTTGGTTTACACAGGAGTCAACTTTATAGCCAGTTACTGTTGACTTCACACTTTTCATACACAATACACCTCCAAATATACAAAGATTCACACTGCTGACTACCTCCTCCCTAGATGTACTGATGATAACAGCAGTAATAATATCTGAGATTTTTTTCCCCATACATACTGTCAGGTATACTTTTGAGGCATTTAATTTTAAATTAACTAACAAAAATCAGAATAACTTCACTGAAGTAACTGTTAAGTGTAGTATTTCACAAAGCACTACGTAGTTCTTAAATTCTAAAGTCTTTTTTAAACAGATGTTAAGGAAAAAATGAGTTCTGTGGTTAATATGGGAAATTTTTCATTTTTAAAATATACTGGAATATTTTGAGATATATATAATTTAAATTAAACTTGTTCCTATTTTACATATTTATAAAAATGGTTATACATCTTTATTTTACCACCTGTCATTAGCAGGACAAGATTTTTGTTTATATGATTTTGAAAAGATACTACCACCAGAAATATTAAAATCTACTTACAGTGCTCATGACATTTTGCCAGATTTTCTAGGTCATCCACATGATAGTAATCATAGCCTGATGTTCCCAGAACTTCAAATGGCAAATATCCTATTATTGGTGGTGCCCTGAATTACATAATAAAACAATCAAGACTGTAACTTTCCTGCAGGAAACATTCCAACTATAAACCAATTTTAGTGGGCTTTATTTTTTGAAAAATGGATAATAGATTTGAAAGTTCTAATTAGAAAAAAAAGGTTATCCTTAAATCCTATTAGTTTCAAGAATCATATGATAATTACCATTTCATGAAATTTAAAAATGAAGTTACCTGTGATCTAGAAATAGAAACTTCCATTCTAAACTATGTCTAGATGTAAATTCTTCATTGGGTTCTTCAACAGTACACATTTCCTGAAAGTAAATTAACAATTAAAATTTAAAGATATTTCCCTGTCCTTAGAAGACCCCTAATACTGTTAAGATTTAAAAGTCATTATTAGGGCCAACCTCAGCACTCTGGGAGGCTGAGGCAGGAAGATTGCAAGTGCAAGCCTAGCCTGGGCAACTTAGTGAGACACTGTCCCAAAATTAAAACATTAAAAAAGGGGCTGGGGATGGAGCTTAGTGCAAAGTCCCTGTGTTCAATCCTCAGTATGGGGGTGGGATGGGGATCATATTAAAATAGGTAACTTTTACTTTAACACGTTTTTAACACATTTGGATTTCTTAGTACTAAAAAATATGATGGGCTAGGGATATTATAGCTGAGCACTGCAGCATCATCCTAGCATAAACTAAGCCCTCTGTTCTATCACCAACCCCCGTACACAAAATAAATTAAAAATAAAAATTTTAAATGTGGCAATAACTGAAATGCAGGCTTCACAGTGAGTACTTCTCATTTTACACATTTCTTAAATATAACTATATGATTTTGCTATTTAAAAATCCAAGGTACTCTTCACGGAGAAGAAAACAGAAATTTCATGTCTGGAATTTGCTTCCTTTTTTCCTTTTAATTTATTTAGTAACACATGTCTGCAATACATAATGGTTGCTTTCAATGCAGGTATTTGATACATGTACATGACATATCTTAATTCTTTTTTTTATATTGACCCTCCATTCATCTTCTGGCCTTTTATCTATCTTTATAGGTACCTTTATTTTGTTCTTAATTTGTACTTTCAGAGAAACCACATGGTATTTAAGTTTCTGTGTTTGATTTATTTCCCTTAACACATTTTCAAGGACCATCCATTTTCCTACTAAAGGTTCAAATTCATTCTTCTTTATAGCAGAGTAGTATTCCATTGTGGGTAATTACCACATTTTCTGTATCCATTTGTCTGTTAATGAACATATAAGCTGCTTCTAAGACTTGGCTATTGTGAATTGGGCAGCTATAAACACAGGTATGCATGTATCCCTGTAATATTATGTCTAACTCTTTCAGGAAGATACTAAGAGAAAAGCTGGGTAGAAAGGAATTTCTATTTTTAGTTTTCTAAGGAATCTAGATACTGATTTCCATAATAGTTGTACTAGTTTATATTTCTACCAACAATGTAGGCGGGTTCCTTTTTCACTACAGCCTCACCAACACTTTTATTTGATTTCTTGATGATTGCCATAAAATCAATCAAAGATCTACATATTAAAACAGAAACACTTAACTTCCTGCAAGATAAGGTAAGTAAAACTCCTAAAGTGGTAAGTGTATGTAAGTACTTTCTAAATAGGACCCTAGTTGCACAAGAAATTAACATCAAGCGTTAACAAATGGGATTATATCACATTTAAAAGCTTCTGCACAGCAAAGGAAACCACAACAGAGTAAAGAGACAATCTACAGAACAGGAAAAAAATTTTTCCAGCTACAGCTCAATATCTAGAATATAGTAAGAACTGAAAAAAATTAGACCTCCCCCAAATAAAAGACCCAATCTAAAAATGGACACATGAAATGAACAGATACTTCTGAGAAGAAATACAAATGGCCCAGAAATACATGAGAAAATGTTCAATATTGCTGGCCATTACTTTCCTAAACTTACTTCTCACTATCTCTACTCCCTCCACCTATGGGAACCTTACGTTCTGGTCAGACTAAACAATATATCATAATTCTGGTCTGTGTCCTTAAAAGACTATCTGCAGCACAATGTAACAGTGAAGAGCTGAGGTGTGAAGGAAAAAGAATCAAAGTCCCAGTTCCATCATTTAATAGATTAAACTTTTGGCAAGCAACATCTTAACTTCCCTAAGTCTTGGTTTCAAATATATTAAGTGGAGATCATAATAGCATCTAACTCATATAGTTGTTATAAAAATTAAAAAGGTTAATGCATGTTAAGTGTATAGCATGTCGTAAGTGCTCCAATGTTAGCCAGATATTATTTCCTAAAAACAAAACAAGTAGAACAAAACAATGCTTTAAGATTTTTTTAAATGCCAACTTGGTAATTCACCCTAAACCATGCTGTCTGCCAAATTTTAAATCTTAGCCTTTCCATCTACTGTTTAGTTTTTATTTTCCCACTTCCCTACTAATTATCTGCTTGTTGGGCCCAATAAAAAAAAACATTTAAATTTTGAAATTTAAGAAGTAAACTGCAAGCAGTAAAAGATACCTGTACATTTCAAATTACTTATTTTTAAAAACTTTTTTCCTTTAATGAAGATAGTGAATAATACACAAAAACGCATCCTAAAATTCTGCACAAAAGTAGGGCAATGGTTATATATAGCCACTGGTTAACTGCAAAGGATATTTAGTTATATTCAGCAAGTGCTCTCATAACTCATGGTTTCAAAAATACTACCTCATGCATATCTTAATGACTCACAGCCACTACTACTACAATGTCTGCAGGAGGTTTCAGTCATTCTGGAGACAACAAAAAAGTTACATAAAGACAATTCTCATAATATGAATAAAATCTCCTCTGAGCAGTTAAAATTAGAAACATACCTTGATGAACTGAGGTGTAGCTAACCTGACAGTAGCTACAAAACAAACTCTATCTTCATAAGAAGGCCTATGTGTGCGCTGTATGGTTCCTTCAAAACCATTATGTGCTGAAGTGGAAACTACAACAGTAAGGAAAGATGTATCATCAGTGATTCCAGTAAAACCTAGTTTTATTCATATTCAAACATCTATATAAAAGAGCTTAGAAAAACACCAAGTTACACCAAATTGTAACAGAAGCAGTTCGACTTACCGCTGTTTAAAGATTTGAAATTTCCTATAAATCTCACATATTCATAGGTAGATGGCTCCTTTGGGTCTATTGTTCCTCGAAGCATATGACAACAGAATTCCAATTGGTTTTTTGCTGAAAGGTGATAAAAAATCATTATGTCTGTGATATACCACATGAAATAAGATTATAAAAGTTGGATAAGTTCACAACTGTTTTCTCCAACAGATGTCTTCAATTAAAGGTATTTTACTTGGTCCATAAAAGTAGAGTATCTTTAGTCAATGACATCATTTTATTCAAGCAACTTATTGTTTCTCCATTTTAATCTACCCTTCCTTTTCTTTCTTCACAATAATCTCAGGAAAGAAAGGTATTCTTTCCCATTCTGAAGCTAACTCCCGCATCTCCACTGTGAACAGACTTTCCCATCTTCTCTAGCACCAGGGCCATGCCACTTCTCACTCACTCCTTTAGCACCTACAAATTCTCTTTTCTCAGGGCTAGAGATTTAGCTCAGTGGCACCGCACCTGCCTCGCAAGTGCAAGGTCCTGAGTTCGATCCCTGGTACCAAAAAAACCAAAAAAAAAAAAATCCTCTTTTTTGGATCCTTATTTTCTACAATTTTAAATTTTTTCAGGTTTTCCATCTCAAAGAATAATCATGCTGAACTTTTTAGTATCACAGATCTCTTTTCTGTACTCGTTTCTATGTATTCATTTCCCTTAATGTCATGTACTTTGGATTTCATCCTCACGCCTTTACCACAACAGCTACTCTACTGAGAGAACTAACATTTGCATTGACAACTTCAATAATTTTTCCGTACTGTTTCTAGCTCTTAATATTCATATTCCCTCATTTCCATAATCTGTACTTTCCTTCCTACCTTACTGACTATTCCTATCTCTTCTGCTAATCCATCTTCAAACTAGTGGCTTTCACAGAGGTTCTTTTATTTTGATCTTTCGCCATCCTTTTATAAATTGGTTAACTCCTATTAACGCTTATTAACTCCTATATCTTTCTCCCCAACTCTAACATTTTATATAAGACAAATTCTTATATCACTATTTGCTTTCAGGACATTTCCACTTGACTGTCCCATCAGTGATTTAAATTTAAAATATCTCAGTGCTTGCTTTGGCAGCACATGTACTAAATTTAAAGTATCTCAGAGTGAATTTATTCTCTTTCTTCCTAAGTCAGTTTCCCCCCTTTGCCTTATGTATGCTTATTTCTCAAGTTAGAAACCATGTCTCTCTATCCTCTCTTCATGTCAATTTGGCTTCTTCTGTTCCCATTACAAATCCCAACACTAATCTGGCACTAAGATGTGCTATTGATTTCACCAAGGAAACTCTCACAAATCATTTTTTCTAACCATTAAGTATCATCAACCCAGTATAGTACAATCACAAATGGCCTTGCTTCTAATTAACATTTACTCCTTATGCCTCTACATTTTTACCTCTGATTCATCCTTGCCTACTATTCTTCATCTAATACTTTTATTGCATTGCTTCTACACAAGGACTAGTAACTCCTTCATTCACTACCTCAAGCCCCTGTTCTTCTTTCACTGTCATAGTAGATGGTTTTATCATCAATTCAACAGGTTCAAAATCCAACTAACATCATTGTCCTCAAATCCTCCCAGACATGGTCACCACCATATCAAATTTTAGTTTATTTACTTAGCACCCTCACACTTTCCTCTCCAATTTACTTCTATTGTAACAACTGTACAATTTTCCCCTTTTGTCTCCAGTATGATCCTTATCAAAATTTTCTACCCTAGGCATTTTTTCCTCCCCACACTATAAAACCACTCAAATCTTCACTGGCTCTCCATGATGTAAAAAGTAAAAATCAAAACCCCATACGGTGAAATAGTAGCCCTTTGTAATTCTGCTCCTACTTTCTTCTCTAAACCCAAATCCTATCATCTGTACCACCTCATCTTCACTTTGGCCAAAATGACTTAGAGAAATTTCCAAGCAATTTCCCCTGTGCTTTAACTTGTGTTTGTGTTCATTCTTTTGGCATAAAGTACTTTTTTGCCAGGGGAAGAACTTTTATGTAACAGCTGTTCAGCCAGGCAATTAGCAAGTCGTTTAACTAAGCTTTTTTCTTTTCCTGTCAAAAAAGTATTGCTACTATCCTTACCTCTGATTTTGGAAACAAGAGCCTAAGGACTATCTTTCTGGCAAAGACTGACTGACTGACTGTCTCACTGTCTCTCTCTCTCTCTCTCCCTGTCCTTTCTTTCTTCCTTTTTCTTTCTCTCCTCTTTCCCTCCCCCTCCCCTCCCCAACCCTCCCCTCCCCTTCTTTCCTGATACTATGGATTGAATCCAGGGCCTTCACACTATAGCTTTTGTTTACTTTGAGACAGAGAATTGCTTAGGGACTTTAAGTTACCCAACCTGGGTTTGAATTTATGGTCCTCCTGCCTCAGTGTCCCAATCTACCAGAGGCTTAGATTCAGTACTCCATTCAAAATTCTGCCTCTGTGAGCATCTTAAAGCCAATTTTTTTCCCCCTGTCCTCCTGCAATTTCTTAGGGCCCCAACTTTCTAATTCTCTCCTAATAATATTCTATATATCAATCTCAACTACTCAAGCAATTCTATTCAATCCATGACTTTGAATATTACATGGAAGCATATAATAGGCTTCTAAATCTATTATATTTAGCTGAAATCCTTTCTCCTCAGTACTGGATTTGATTGACTTATTGGTCAAAGTCATGCAATTTTGATTAAAAACAATTATACATAGCATAAGCTCTAAATGGATTCTCCAGGTCTCTAGTTTTTCTCAACTCCCCCTGAAAGATTATCCATTCATATCAAAGACATACATATATATAAACTTCCATATATAAATTTTATATGTATATGTGCTAAGTGCATGCATATCAAATATTAGTATATTACAGAATTTGAGGATTTAAATACAAAGAACTTCTAAGATGATTAATGCCATTATTAGAAAAAATGGAATTTTAAAACCATAAAAAAGATAAACGATATCTAATAGCTAATGCCAAAGAGTGATGCAACAATTTTGAATCTTACATAGTGTAAAACCGAGTGAAGAAAATGAAGTATTCTACTCAAACTGATTTGCCCAGTGAAGTGGAAATATCTGATTATACCACAACATTTTGGGTTTCTTGATCACAGGGACTATTTTGCACTATGCTTGGCACTTTTTAATAATATAGCACAAGTGCCTGGCACCCTAGATATAGCCAATAAAAGATTCTTAAATTCAGCTTAACAAATAATTTTTCTTTTTATTTAATAATTTTTAAAGAAATATAGAAACTGTCCTCACAGTTTGAGTGCCCAATTGATTAACAATAGGGGCCAGGGATTTAGCTCAGTGGCACTGCACTTGCCTCCCAATTGATTAACAATAAGGAAAATGAGACTGTTTCATTTTCTCTTATTAAATACAATATTTAAAAATTAAAAATATATTGCCAGGTTCCATTTCTGTGTAACGTATGGCATAACTGTAGTACAACTATTCATATTTATTATAATAAACAGGATATTTTATTATAGTCTAGAACAGATTTTAGACTTTAAATATGAAAATATAAAGCAATATAATCACCTGTAATATTTCATCACACAATAGATGTTTAAACTTCAAGTAGTCTAGGAGGATTATCAATATGAAAATAATTCCATTTCATAAATCTTTTTTAATATTTAAAAATTACCTAATAGGGTTATATGGAAAAATGTTACATTTTAATTAAGAATGCCTTTTTCAGGGCTGCGGATTTAGCTCAGTGGTTCCACCACCTGCCTCACAAGCTCAAGGTCCTGAGTTCGATCCCCGGTACAAAAGAAAAAGAAAAAAAGAAGCCTTTTTCATAAACTTTCAAAGGTAAAAGATAATGCTATTAAATATAACATTTGAATTTTTGCTTAACAGTTACTACTTACATTTTAAGTATTCAGGAGTTAATGAATCACTTTCCAGCAGATGGGTAGAGAGTATTTTATAAAACTCTGAATGTTCCCCTTCTGGGATAAAATTAAATATACTTTGATCTACAAGATCAGACTGAAAAAGAAATTTTTTAAAATAAAATAATTGAGTAATTCAAGAGGCATTTAAAAATGTAAAATTGCTATTAAACAACAGAGGATCACAGGATTTTCAATTATCTGTGAAAACCAACACACATCAAGTTACAGATTACATTCCTAAAAACCAAGACTGAAAACTTGGAAGGTGATTACCACTACCTTCATGCCTCTGATACCAATGTCATCAGATTCATGATCAATATAACCTTGAAAGCCTGATTTATTATTTGTAAAGCTGTTTCACCAAATTTGAACATTTTAAAATACAACTGAGCTAAGAGAGTTAATTGGCCACAAAACACAACTTTGCAATTTCTTCAAATCTACATTAAACAATGGGACATTCATGACCACAAAGGACAAGCAATAGGCTAAATGAAGAGGATATTTGACTTTGGGATACTTTAATTGTCCAACATGTTCTTTCATTTTCATTTCATAATTTTTAAGCATCTATCTTATACTGTAAACCACTGTCAAAAAGTCTTGTAAATAAGGGCAACTAATATGTTATGCATAATTCTTGTTAATTATACGGCTTTAATCAAGAGTCATTAATCAGCGATTATGTGACAACTGTCAGGGTGACTACTCTATGGGATGGCTATGGAATCAAAGATGGTTATACATAATAAATACCTCCTAACCCCTTAAGTACCAATGGAAACTCCAGTGACTTCACATTTTCTACTGAGTCCAGTCCATTCTACTTGATTTCTCTACGTTTTCAAACTGCTCTGTGGAGTCTTAGAGATACTGAGGTGGTATTCTCAAGGGCAGCGGAGGGTAAGGGAACGAGAAGGAGCTGTGAAGGTAGGCTACATTCAACCAGAGCAGTTCCACGTTCTTGTGCTCCTGTTTTACACATCTGCAGAGAGCATCACTGCTTCAAAACAAAAATAGTAACAACAAAAGAGTGCCACTGGGGATGGGGAAGGTGTACTTGCCATACAAGCCACACATTCACATTCTTTCTGTCTTTTCTCTTAGCCCTCAAATTCTGCCCTGTTAAGTGGAATAGCCTTTCTCAATTTTCAGAAAACTGTATCCTCCATCTTTCAAATTATTTTCTGAAAAAGTATTCCCTTGACATAAAAATCCAAAATAAAAATAAAATTCCTTTAGTACTTACTTGTATCATTCATTTCCCATAAAAAGACTTGCTATTTTAATGTCTACTTCCTGTTGCCCCATAAATGAATAAAAGGGCTCCACCTCTTAAATCTTTATCTTCCTCCCTTCCAATCAAGGCACAATAATTCTGTGCCTTGCATATAATAGTTACTAGTATAATAACTGATTTTAGACTAAAGAGTTATTTGATAATGGCTTAAGGGTTAACCACACCAAAAATGTAACTGGAAACAAATGCGGCTTTTCAGACTTCCAGTTACATTTAATAAAGAATTCTTCTGGAAGTCTGAAAAGCCTTCTAGAAAAAATTAAAAATTCAGGCACAAGTAACAGAAATGCTAAACAACTGTTTTACTGACACTAAAGTACCAAAATACAGGTACCGATAAGAATGCAAAAACTAGCTGATAGAAAAATAAAACACAAATTTGAAATTAGAACTAAAACTTTCATTTTGAGAATGACTGTTTCTTCTATTTCAGCAAATTATGATTTGACCTTTTTTACCCTTTTTCTATCTATAAATTTATATGATATTTCCTATTCAGAGAAAAAATATGAATAGCTAATATCAAGAGTACGATCACAAGCTATGTTTTCCTACCACTCTGCTTCTCCTGCCACTTCATGAAGTATTAAACTTACTTAATGTCTCTATATGAGGCTAATCATACTTACTGTTACCATAACAACTATTCAAATATTGAGATAGGTCAGAGCGAAGAAAAGCAAATAGTAGCTATCTGGACCTTTTAACTTCCCTCAATTCTATTCTTTTTTTTCACTCTTTTTTTCTGTCTTGGTCTTGATGTGCAGTTCAGGCTGGCTTTGAACTCACTATGTGGCTCAGGATGGCCTTGAACTTGAAATGATCCTACTGCCTCAGCCTCCCACATGCTAGGATTACAGGCATGTGCCGGTGCACCCGGCTACCGTCAATCATTTTCATATAAAAACTATTGATTTAGCTATATGACATATTTCTACATTAGATCAGTATTATCATTTAGTGTAAATTGTAACTATTGTAGTTATCTTTTAGGTAGACAAAAGATAGTTAAACAAATGACTCCTACAGACAACAGTTGCTTAAAAGTGACTCAAGGCTCCCTTGAAAAAACTGCATATATAATTTTGGATATTTTTTGCGGGGGGCAGTACTGGGTTTGAACCTAGGATCCTCCCACTGAACTGGATCCCCAGCCCTTTTTATTTTTTGAGACAGGGCTTTGCTAAGTTACTAAGTTGCCCAGATTGGGTTCAAATTTGCCTCTGTCACTGAGTGCAGAGATAGGCATGTGCCATCATGGTCAGCTTGGATATAAAATATTTTTAGCAATTGTATTCCTGGGTATAAGGTACAAAAATCTTGACTTTTTCAAATTAGCCTTCTCTGTAATCATATAACAATAACTGTGCATCAGATAGAGAACTAATGAACCCTTTCCCTTTAGTTATTCAATGTGGTGGAGGGGTAAGATTTATAGGATGAGGAGGATGTTTTTTGCCTTGTTCTATCACATCTCTCTAAATCATCCTCCTTAAGATACCTTTAGTTTTTGGCATACCACTACTAAATAAAAAAATTATACAGTTTCTACAAATATATAACTGAAAGAAAAACCAATACAATTTTATATGGTTTAAAAGCATGTAATTATACTTATTAATTACTTAATCATATAGAGGGATTCTTTTTCTTTTTTTGTTACACAAGGATTTTTTTTACAAGTTTCCTAGGAGAATAAACAGAGGGAAGGAAATACTGCTTTGCAGTATCTCTTTGTGGCGTTCACTTTGCAGTGTTAGAAATTTTCAAAAGAAAGGAATATTGAATAATTTACAAATGATATAATAACAGTTATACCACAGGTCCCATCTCAGATAATAATATATTTAAATAAAATATGTAAATTCATTTTTAAAACCATCAACTGCAGCACAGCACATTAGCATGGTGTTTGGGACAGAACAAATGTTCAGTAAATACATGCTGAGTAAAAAAAGCAAACCACAATTCAGGTATTCATCATCCCAATCAAAATTATACAATATACTTCTAATTCTTTATTTTTTTGGTCATACTGAAAGTGAACTGCATATGTTCATTACTTTATTATCCTTTAAACTTAAAAAAATTTATTAGTACATATTTGCAGTACATAATGATTACATTTATCATGGGGAATTGGCACATGTAAATAACACATCTTAATTCTTTTAAAAATCCCCTTTCTCTCCCATCTATCTCTTGGTGTCGTTCCTTTTTGTAAAAGTTCTATGTCCCTGTTTCCTATTATTTATCTTTTATTTTCATACTTTGAGATTCTCATATATGAGAAAACAAGTGATACTTAAAGCTTGTGTGTCTGTTATTTCACTTAACACATAGTTTCAAGGTGCATTCATTTTCTTACAAGTGACTCAAATTCTGTATCGATTATTTTTAGTGTTTTTATAACTCATTCTTTTTGGGAAATTATGTATGAGTTTTCCTACCTGCAACAAGTGTCTTGTAGAAATTTGGTTATTCTCATGATATGCTGTGTTCTAACAACTTCATGAGACCAATTAAAAAGGAAACACTGAAAAGTCAGCATTAGAATAAAGACAAGAAGAACAAGAGTTTCTTCAAGTAACAGCTGAATATTGTTACTACATATTAATTAGTCATGACTGATCTGAGAAAACAGCAATGCTAAAAACAAAGACATACTTAAGGCTGGGTGTGGTGGCACATTTCTGTTATCTCAGCACTTGGGAGGCTGAGGCAGGAGGGTCACCATGAGGTTGAGGCCAGCCTAAACTACATAGTGAGTTCAAGACCAGTGAGACCCTCAAAAACCAAAAAAGCAAAAACAAAAACAAGACATACTTAAGAGTTTTCATCCCCACCCTTTAGTCATTTTTAACACTGTACTAAGTACAGGTCCACTTTCTAGTGCTTTAAAATATTTAAAACAGGCATTAAATAACAAAGATTTTAAGATTTTTATACTTACTGGTAAGTGTTCAAGTAATGAAGTTACACTCTCAGACACATATATTATACTTCCATCTGTCATGATTGCTAAAAAAAAACCATCAAGAGCCTGAAATTAAACATAATGGTCAGTTAAATGAAAAGAAAAAAGTATTTCACAGGTCAGAAATAAGATAAATGACAAGAGACTTAATGCAATATCAGGTACTGTCATAATGCTAGCTTTTTCTCTTTATAGTACATTACTATGTATTTCTGTGCATCTTTACATGCTTCTGCGGGGGAAGATCACTCTTTGGTTAAAAAAAATCATTCTCCAGTTATCTGTTAGACAACTAGTTTCTAAGGTTAGGGAGTTAATGTTCTGTCTTTACTGCCATGTATACTATAAAATCCAACCATAAATACAGTATGGTTTATTTAAAGATGGTAACATTTCCAAAGTACACATGCTACCAAGAATATGTCTTAGGCAGACAAAAGAACACATTACTGTATTATTATTTTGGATACATTAAGAGAGAAGTGTATGATTGAAAGGTAGGAAGCTACATGAGGAATAAAGTGAATGGAGTGGTAGGAAATGAAGCTGAAAAACTCTGATTTGGCTATGGCCAAATCATGAAAGGTCTTGAATACCAGGTTAAAACTTAAAAGATTTTCTGCTGTACACAATGGGAAGCCAACAGAAGATTTTAGGACAGGAAGTTGTTCTGTAATGAGAGTAGTAGTCGTGAAGATGTAAAATATATTTTACAAATAACTGAGTCCGATAAGTCTCAATAGCCTTTGGGATGATTAGGGAAATTAATGAGAATCTGAACTAAATTAGTAGCAATAGGAAAAAAAGAAAGAATTAGTTAAGTACTAAGAAATATGAATGTCTTCAAAAGAGATACTGAAGCAAAGGATACATGACCTAATAATAAAGCAATTATATTCTTTTATTTTTCAAAGTTATTTTTATTTGAGAATCCTAGGCACCTAAGTGACAGCTGGAGAAATGAGAGCTTCAAAACAGAAAAGTATGTCAAAGATAAATCCTTAGAAGAATGGCCTGTACATGGGGATGACGTGAAAGAAAACTGGAGAAGACAGTGTCACACCCAGAGAGTAAGGCAACCTTGCAGGCTGGAGTGTGTGGCCTGGGCACCAACAAGCCTTGGAGGCAGATGTGCAGGAAGCCTTAAAGAACAAAGACAAGACAATGGTCATCTGGAGAAGAGTGCCTCGCTGCCTCACTCTATCCGTCCCCCAAATTCCTCAAGGCAATACTACCCTCCTCCGCTTCCCTTTAAATTCTTTATTCTCTGCCTGCTCTGCACTGACTCCCCTTTGGACTCAGCCTGCTCATAAGTACACCAGCATTACATAAACAAGCCTTGATTCTCATACAATGCCTGCCCCAGGTGCTCTTTCTTTAATATAGACAGAATATACTGTTAAGAAGAAAATGGAAGAGGATATGACAAGGCCAGTGAAAAGAAGGATGGTTCAGTGTAAAAGATCAAAGAGGACAAGAAACAAGAAAATAAGAAATGACTTTTGGTGGTTTTTCAGAAGAGTTACATCAACAGGAAGGTGACTCAAACTGCAAAGTGTTTAGAATGAGTGAATGATCAAAAGCTACCATAGCCCGGGGGGGGGGGGGGGGAGAAAAGAGGGGGGGGGGGGGGGGAGGGTAGGGGAGGGGAGAGCAGAGGAGAGGAGAGGAGAGAAGAGGGAAAGGAAGGCTGGCTAACAGTTTTAAGGGAACCAGGTATCAAGTAACTGCATTAAACAATACCAACAACAAATGTATGTGCAGCCTAAGAGAAGGTCCAGGGAGAAGCTGATGATCATTTCTCATTTAAGTAAAGAACTTTCTCTCAGAACAGCAACCTCTGAGAGATCCATGTGTATCTTAAGTCATCCTAGTATCTGAAACATCTAATCTATGTGTGGTAAAAAAATACTGTAGTATATAAATTATAGTCCTAAGAATAAAAGCAACCTCTAATTCTAAATAATTGTTTAATATGCAGCAACTGTCATCCCTAGTAGTGGTGGAAAGAGATCTGGACAGTAGAGAGAACTCATACTGAGGAGATACCTATCTTTTACAATGGCTCAGACAGACCCAATTTTAGTTACTTGGGAGACAGGGTGGTTAAAAAATCTTAGAATGTGAGCCAATCCATGAATTACTAAAAAGTAGTATGATGCCAGTATTATTCAATTAATAATTATCTTACTACTACTACTTTGAGTAGGGAAAAAATGATGTTAAGAAAACTACACTTTTCTCATGTGAAGCTAGACGGTATCACCTTAGAAAGCAAAGTGAAGTTCTCTTCTGTGAAGAGAATGAACTTAAATCAGAACTCTATAAATAACTTAATCCAACTTCTAGTTCTAAAGTCTGTTTTCCCCTTCTTTCAAAGCAGGCAGAGAATAAGCAGGAAAGTCTCCAACAGCATCTTGCCAAAGTCTTGACATAAAAAAGGAATAAGGGCACAGACATCTTTTGAGTGTAGATTTAGAGAGATGTGAAAGACTAAGACAGAGAACATCCCCCTCCTCATTCTAAGACTATGACTCTTAACCCTCCCAAACATTCTATAACTAAAGGGAAAGGGCTCAACAGTTAAAAGTCCTTGTCTTCTGACTTGATATCTATCTGACACACAGTGACTGGGGAAGCTTGCAACAGAAGTTCTAGGGACAGGTAGAGATATTCTTTGTGAATTTGCGACAAAGATGAGGCTAACACACAGCATTACTCCATCCTGTGTGGATTACTGGAGAGCTTTGAGCTATATACTAGAAGATGACTTCACATATAGATGCTTTAAAACGATCTGATCAGGTCAAACTGCTCTAATTGCCTTCCCTATTCCTAGTCTTCCAACAGTAGAAAGAGTCCTTAGCCAACAGATGCAGGGGTGGGGGACAATGGAGAACTGGAGAGAGACAGCCAACACATAAGTTGTGAGCGAATTTTAAAACCTTGATTCCAGATCTTCCATTAATTTGCTATCTGACTGTGGACAAGCTGCAACTTCTGCAGGCATCATGGTAAAATTAAGTTTCAGCTAAACAATCTAATCTCTTCTACTTCTGGGAGCAGCTGTAACATTCCAAGATACAGCCTACTTCAGAAAATTCTGCTGCAAATGATATGTAGCTTGCTTATTTGTAATCTCATCAATGTGATTAGCCAAGTAAATCACAACTAGGCTATAGTCTAGCCAAACGAATTTGACCCCAACAAAACTAGTTCGATTTGTGAATCAGATTTTCTTTTTTTTTTTTTTTAATGTTCATAGAACTGGGTCACTGTTGAATTTCTTTTTTTTTTATTAAATTCTTTTATTGGTACATTGTAGGTATACAACACAATTACATTTCTCATTGGGAATTGTACCTTTACATAATGCA